ATTTTTCGGTGTCTAAATCTTTTTCTGGAATAAATTTGTCATCCTATATTTTTCCTATATAGTTGAGGGCGATCCTATATATTTTAGACCTATCCTATATAGGAGTTCCTATATTTTTTGAGAGAGCCGCTGCGATGCCAGGATACTACTTAGTAGGAATAAAAGGGAACAGTTTTAACATTCTGCTTAGGAATATCCAAAGGTAGTGGCAACGACATTTTAGTATCACATATTAAGCTTGATAAAAGTTTCTTTTTTACATAGGATGATAAAGAAAAAAGTGCCCTTTCTTTATTTCTATGTTGTTTCATCATACTTCAGCTAATATCAAAATAGAAAAATTTTATAAGATAGTGTTTTCTATCATATATGACGGTTATACGAAAGCCTATTCAGTGGATATTTTTTGATAGAAACAAGACAGAGGGCTTCGGTTTTCCCCATTCAAACGAGGAAATGAGGGTGCATTGAATCGTATATAATGAGTTTGTTGAAATGACATTTTAAAGGTTTTCAAGCGACCTGTTTGAAAGCAAGCCTACTCCGTAAGATTTTAAAACGAATTTTCAATTGTCAGATGTGCTTTCAAACGTCCTCTGAAACATCAACAAAATAGCGCAAGATTTAGATTCGATCATTCGGGAGTTATAGATGTTCTAGTCGAACCGTTAAGTGACTGTTCTAGCAATTTTTGGGAAGGAATTTAAAAAATAGTTTTGTCTATACTTAAAAAATTTATTAAAGAAACTTCAGATAGCATCTAGAAAAATTCTAACGCATAAATCGATGCATTTTTATCTCCGCTTTTCAAGGGTAGAAGTCACAGCTCTATATCTGGTTTCTATCAAAATTTATTCAAAATGCAGAGTATAACCGTCATATATGATAGAAAACACTATTTTATAAAAATTTTCTATTCTGATATTAGCTGAAGTATGATGAAATAACATAGAAAGAAAGAAAGAGAGTTTTTTTCTTTATCATCCTATGTGGAAAAAGAAACTTTTATCAAGCTTAATATGTGGCATTAAAATGTCGTTGCAAGTACTTTTAAATACCCCTACGAAATTATAGAAGCATAAAATTGAGTGCCTCAATGTAACAGTATAGTGAGAAAGTTCGAATATAAAAATGCGCAACGATGTTCGTAACTATCAAGATATTGGTTTGATCGTTTGGAGACGCTTCTAAGACGTTCCATTACTGTTATAAATGTAATAGAACAAGAAAGTATTCTACGTTAAAAAGCGTAAACTAGTAATTAAAATAAAGCAGATTTAACGAAATATATGTATGGAAATGCATTTGAAGGATATTACCCAATCCACAGTCATGATGACAAGTCATGCCTATCGTATCTTGTTTTTCTCGAGCATGCTTGACTACTGTAATGTATTTACGATTTTACACGTTGTCACTACTGTAGACGATAAGACATTCTATGACCGTCAGAATATTGATTTTCGTAAATCTGTTGATGGTTCATCTATATTTGTAGTAACGGGAATGTTTCTTTCGTTTCTACGTAATCATAGCAATCAGTTTTAAAATCCTTTCGCTCTACCCTGATTGTATATGTGAGAAGAGAAGAGTAAACGAACACTACTTCTTCAAGATTTTTTTTTATCAACATCATCAAAGAACAGAGTCTATTTAGTCATAGTTTACAAGAAATAGATTGAAATTCGGCTACCACTATAATAATGGTCACATGATTAAATACTTATAAACACATTTACCTGCCGTTTAAATATGGCCGATTCAATATCTAGCGTGTTGACTATGCATATGATATATGAAACACAAATATTTTGTGTATGTGTACCAAATGAAAAAAGTATGAAGAATGATCAATTTCATTTCCTACTATTCGCAAAACAAGAACGAGAAGCGAAAAAACAACTATATGAAGGAGGCATTGTACATGTACAAACGCGTGTGATAGAACAAACATAAAAACAAGATGCAAACTAGCTCTACAACGACACAGACAACAAGAAAAATGTGAGCGGGTAGTCAAGCGGAACATTCTCGTCAATAAATATTTTCTACTAATTGCACGAAAGATGAAATTTTCTTCCGGTTTCCTCTCATTCGAACTACATGTCACACAAAACAGGAAACTGAAAGTTGGGAAAAGCAGGTCTCGCGTGTTCATTTTGTCGATTACACAACTATTTTGTCCTTATGATTATATAACTTGAAATCTCATGAGAGAAAGTTTAATATTCACGCTTATTAGTTACAGAAATATTTTGAATTTCATCGAAATTTTTCAGGTTTCGCCGAATATTAAAATCGAGACACCTTTTTTTGGTAAAAAGAAACATTCTCATTTGATAGAGAATAGAGAAGATATATTAATATATTGTAGACAATGTCTCCAGAAGAAAATGTAACTATACCATTACAATTGTTATACCGTTTTCACATCATATGAGTTCATTAAACTTTCAATAACATAGTCAAGCGATGTTACTCATCCAAGATACTATTCCAATACACTTCAATGGCAGTAAAATCGTGATTTCTGATCGACATAAAAAATACAAGAAAATTATTTTGTGGACGTTATCGAAAAGACATAATTACAGTTAGAATACTATTCAAGTCTATTCGACGCCGATACGGTTGCCGATCGATGCTGATTCTAAAATGAGTAGTGTCCAGAGCTTTATTCTCTATCGAATAGTATCACTTTTGCTGGAGGTCATCAGGGAATAATGAGCACTGGGCGTGGATGAGGGTGTGTGCTGACAATAGATCATTAACGATCCTTTTATCCGTTGGTTTTAGCTTTTGGAAACATTAATTTTTCATTTGAGCCATGAAAAATTTCATGCCGATGTACATCCACACTGATTTGCACACTCAACTCTTCTATTTTTCTGATGATCGGCATTGAAACTATGTTATTTAAGAATATAATTTAGCATAAACGTCTATGATAGAAAAATCAAAATGGAAATGTCGATGATTTTTTTTTATCTTTGAATCTAACTCTTTCTATAGAACACCCTAAGACTAAAGAAAAGTAGATGGCTCTGTCTATTGAGATAATTTATATATATGTTGTAGTGGAAATTAAAATTCAGTAGAATTTAAAATCCTACTAGTAGAAATTGAAATTTTAGTTTCTACTATAGGTAAAATTCAGTAGAATTTCAATTTCTACTAGTAGAATTTTAAATTCTACTGAATTTTAATTTCTACTGCGACATATATATACGATCGTATTCCATATATAAACATGTTAGGCTCAATTGTTAACCAATGAAATTTTGAGATGACGGATGATGATGACGAGGATGGTGATAAAAAAAAGATTTTTGTTTCATTCTATCATCTTTTTCTCGTTTACATAAAAAAAATTCAGCATTATCTTTAGAAAACAAAATGCAATCTGCTGTTGAAAAGCTTCGCAAATATCGTGACGAAAATTATCGTTCACACGATGAAATAATTGAAATATGGACACATGTTTTATCTAATCGTAATTTATCATCATTAGGAGATGAAAAATGGTTAATACTTGAACAAATCTTTAAATCAGCTTTACACTGTTCAAAACAATCGATTGCTCGTCAATGTTTCGAACAATTAGAAAAAAAATTTAAAAAAACAAGTCGGCGTGTTACAACATTAAATGGAATGTATTTTGAATCTATTGGAGAATTTGAAAGAGCTGAAGAAATTTATTCACTATTATTAGAAGATAATGAAACAGATGCTATCGTACGCAAGAGACAAATAAGTCTTTTAAAAGAACAAAATCAAATACGAGAAGCTATCAGCCAATTAAATTCTTACTTAGAACTTTATCAAGTAAAGCGTAAAAACGTTTTTTAGTTTTTTTTTAATGCATTTTAATTTTAAGGCTGATCAAGAAGCATGGAGTGAACTATGCGACCTTTATTTATCGGAACATGATTATACAAAAGCTGCATTTTGTGCTGAAGAACTTCTATTAATCAATCCGCATAATCATCTTAATCATGAACGTTATGCATCGATTCGATATTCTCAAGGAGATTATGAAAAGGCTCGAACTTACTATTTTAGTACATTAAAAATAAATCCTACAAATATTCGTGCTTTATATGGTATCATTTTAACATCAACAAATCTTGCTCTTAAAACATTAGGAACAAATTCTAAAATACAAAATTCGAATGAAAATAACCAATCATTGAATGAACAAATGCAATGGGCACGTGAACAAATTATGCAAAAATATATAGAAACTACTCCGGATCTCTTACCCATCATTGAATCAGCAATACAAAGTTTAACACTATAAAAAAACAAGAAAGGCAATCTCTTTTGTTTTTCATTTTATCTACTAGACTAGTCGATTTTGTGTCATGTTTTTTTTTCTTCACATAAAAAATTAAATTGAAAAAATATACAAATACCAATCTATCTTCTTGTTTTTAGATGTTCAGATGGATTTACAAAATAAATATCAAATATTAGCAAGTGAATTCTCTAAAGTTCGAGGACAAGTAACTGTTTTAAAAAAAGCTGTCATTGATGAGCAACAAAAGAATCAGCTGTTACAAGTAATCCATATTTTATTTGTTGAATCAGCTGATTTATTGAATTTTTTTTTCAAGGAAGATATTAATAAAAAAGATCAAAATTTAAGAAGGAATGGACAAGAAATCGAAACGCTTTCATTTCTTAACACACAACTTAAATCTCGTCTTGAAATTCTTCAACAAGAACTAAAGGAATTTGATGCAAATACGAAATTAAAAAAATCAAATAGCAATAAAACACTACAAGTTAATCCGTTTAATGATAATGTGCTCGCTCTAGAACTTGAACAAAAAATAAAACAGTATGAAACTATTCAACGTCGAGTAAGCTTGGTGTTTCTTTTTTTTTCTTTCAAAAACAGAAAGTAGATATAGATGATTATTAACAAATAATTCTTGTTCTAAATTCGAACTTAGACGCGATGAGTTTAATGCATTTCAGAAGATATCCATTTTTTTGTGAGAAAATATCTCTTCTACCTTGACTAATTGATTACTATTTTACGACTTCGAAAATTTAGTTAACATATTTACATTAAAATGTGCCTAATTTTCAGAATTTTCAATTGAAAAATCTTTGGATAGTTCAGTCAACATAATTTAAAATAAGTTTAAAATGCAACAGTCAATCTTTGAATCTAGTTTGATAAAAATCTTGATTTTTATTCAGATTTAAAAAAAGAATACTTTCTAAAAAATGTCTATTCAGTTCAGTCAATTTAGCAATATGATTGATAAACTAATATTTATTTGCATAGGACAGCTATGTCTATTTCAATAATTGAAACATCTGGATCTTTCATGTGTTTTTTTGCTAAGAGAAGCTCGTCGTAGAACATGGTAGAGTTTTAAAATTGACTAAAGCGCACATGGTCTTTTCTCTTTCTGATTGGATAATTTCATGAAGCAGTCTGATTTAAAAAATTTTTCAATTCGCACTTCTACAACAAAAATGTGCAAAAGATTTGCTACTTTTTCTGCCAATATAGGGGACATAGGATATTTACGTCTTGAAATTTTCTTGCTAAAATTTCATCAAAAATCATGATAGACTTTTTGATAGATTCTCTGGACAAACCTTTTAAGATCATAAACTGAATTTGATTTATTCTGCATATGTCGATTGAAATGGACTTGCACTGATATATATATATATATATATGGTTACACGATGACTTACACGTTATGTCGTACGTTTAACATATGTGTTAAGGCCATATATGCTGTGATTTGTCGATAAAGATTTTACTTCTATTTTATCTATTGACAAAGAAAGGAATAGTCAATTGAGAACTCTAATAATGGTTTTGTTTCGTCATCGCCAATTGCATTAACAGGTCTAAACTGTTACAACTAATATCAATGATTACAACTGCATTTTCACGCTACTTTTTTTTGTAAAGATTTTCTTCAAAATTTTCTATTTCAATATCAATTTTTCTTATATCATTACTTCACAAAAAATCATTACTAAATTAGAAAATCTTTCGTATATGGTTTTAGATTATAAGAATTTTAATTCTTGAATATGTTATAGTTAGTTTTGGAAACGTAGCATGATGGAACATTTTGTGACTCATGTCTTACTGAAACAGCAACATACAGACTGTAGAGCAACATATAGCTTGCATAAAAAACTAATTTCATCTGCTAAGAAAACAGAAAAATCTTGAAAGTTCAATATCTATGGCCTTCGGAGCATTTTTATATAGAGTAGTTAAATGATCAATTGGATCTATTTGATTTTATGAATGATAAAAAAATTAACTGTCTGTAATATTTTCACAGAAAAAAAATTTAGATTCATCTAAAATAAATAAATTGCTAATAATCGAACTGGCTGAATTGCAAGCAAAAAATTTCTACTCACGTATATTTTGTCATTTATTTGAAAATGATTATCCATATTTAGCTCTGTTGAATTGATGAGTCGTGACGTACTACTTGGAAAGATAATCTAAACTTAATTGATAGAAATGATTAGTAAATATTCTATTGAATGATACAACCATGTTTATTAATTTCTTTATTTATTCAAGTTTATGACAAGTTTTATGTAAGTCATTAACTTGAACATGATTAAGGATATAAAATAATTACATCTTTGTTGCATGTATAATCTTCTCAAATTCAAGACGTTTGAAAGGAAAACAATACATGAAATTATTTTATATTTTCTAATGTGATTTCGAAGATTAGTAGAGAAGAATTGACTGTTCTTAAGTATCAAACTTTATTTAGCTTTTCAATAACAACTTCGATGAATCAAATGACTTTTTAATAGTGCGCTCGACTGAGCAAACTTAGGCGATGATAAATGATTTGGTTTTTAATCGATTTTTATAACCAGAGTCTTAAATTTAAGTTACAAATCATTTGAATGAATCTCATACAGTTATTTAGAAGCTAATTCAAACTAGAAATTTATGATGATCAACTCGAACATTTGATGAAATATTAATTTGTCTAACTTCTTCTTGTTTAAAAAAAAGATATTAAAATATTTTTCCAAAAATCAATTCTCTTTGTTAACATAGGTCTATGAATTAGATAAGCAGATTGCTGATAACGAGAATGAGCGATTGACAAATCGTTCAAATATAGAACATTTACAAAACCAAATGGCAGAAATGCAAGAAAGTCATCAACGAACTCGAGATGAATTCGAAAGAATTTTAAAACAACTAAAACAAGAAAATGAATTACTTAATGTGCAAATTAAACAACACTTAACAGAACAATCATCAGTTGTTACTGTCAGTCGAAAATCGTCTGTCATCGTTTATTGATGAATTATTGTTTCGAATATGTCTTGTTTAAATTGTAGATCTATTTTAAATCCGCCAACAAAAAATGTTCCTGATTCGGCTCCACTTCCACAACCTGAAATATTTTTGTATAAATATTTAAATGCGTGGCGTGATGCATTTACAGAACTAACAATCTATATTGAAGAACGATTAAAAAATAACAATCGATCATCAGAACATAATGAAAAAGTAATCGATTATTATAGTCCTTCTATGGATGAGGAAAAAAAGAGATCTTTTACTATTATGTAGATGGCTCAAACAGTAAAGGCTTTTCAACAACATGCAGACAATTTTCTTGCTGCATTGAAAACACATTTGTTTGATGGAAAAGTAAAAAAGATTGAAAAATATACAAGACTATATTGTTTGTTTACTTTTTTGTTTTTTAAGTCTTCACATGTAGATAAAAATACCACTGACTTCGCTGAATTATTTAGCATGTTTGTTTCGTCTTGTGAGAAAGTACTCGGTTTTGCTAATAAAAGGTAATTTTGATTTGTTGTTAAATAAAAATAATTATTTCTGTGTTCAGTGTTTGTGATGAACCTAGATTGATTTCTTCATTGGAAAATCAGGAAAAAATTTATGGAAAAATTCATAAGTTAAATGACGCACTTAATCAATTATTTCAACGATGGATAAATAATTTATCTCTGTTACGTGAAATAGCTGTTGCAATTATTCAATTTGGTAATAAAAACGATAGATAAAAATTCTTATCGATTCTTGAAAGAAAGTTTTGATTTTCATTTCTGAGTTCTGAAAGTTATAGATACTGCATTTCAACAGATAGAAGTTTTGATCTTCCTATTTTATATTTTTAAATGTATAATAGTAGGATTAAATAGTAATTAGTTGGTGTCTTTTTTGTTTAGATTCATCTCTTCCAACGACAACAGATCAACTACAAGCAAAAATCGTTGAAATTTTAACAACATTTCAAACAGGTGCCATTATTCATTGTGGTTCGTATTTCATTTAATTGACATTTTTCAACATCGAATTCTTAAATGTTTTAAAGATCTTGATAAAAATTATAACGATAAATTATGTTTGGAATATGAATTAAGTTCTTCTCCAGTACATCTAACAACAACTGATGAATGCATTTTAGCAGCATTAAGAAAATTAGCAAATCAAGAACAACAGGTTAAGAAAATATTTTTCTTTAACTATTTAGTATTTTGTTTTTATTAGATTTCACAATTAATGCGAGAACATCAAGAATATCTTTTTGAATTTTATCGTAGAAAAAAAGATCTTTCGCAATCGGAAGAAAACGTTTTAATTGATTTATCAGATGATTCTTGTCAACAACTAATTGATGTTCATATGCAACAAGTGAAAAAGATTTCTTTTTAACTACATTTATTTAATTATCTATCTTCTTGTTCAAGAGTCTTTATAATGCAGAAACAATAGGTACACTTGAACAAGAAAAAGAACATTGGCGTTTAGAATATCAATTATTAAAAATAAAATTTGAAAAGATGCGCGATGATCATTCAAAGCAAATTGAAGAGCTAAAAGATAAAACAAATCAAACGACAGCAACTGGAACAAACGAAGAATTCGATGGAATTGTTATATCATCACCTACAACAGTAAATATTTATTTTATACTATTTTATTTATATCTTTGTTAATCAAAATCGAGTTTTACTATCGACAGTTTCATGTTTCATTATTTATAAATCGATCATTTCACAAAAAATAAAAGTTCAAATAACTTCGCCAAATTCATTCTAATGTAATTAATGTTTGACTAAGGCTTTCTTCTGCGAGTATAACCAACAAATTTAGAGAAGTGAGAATAGTACTGATTTTCGGAAACGAATATTTATGTAGTATGCAGTACAATAGTTACAAATCACAGAAAGACAAACTCGGTCTTAGTAGTGGCATTCCCTTATTCTTCAGTTTCCACATTTAGCATGATGTTGTTTATCAATGATTTCAGTTTTCATACCTATTTGAGATAGTTTATTGTCGATGAGCTATTTCTTCAATCGAATTAAATTTAATACCGTTCTACGAAAATTTCGATGATTTATGCAAGGAATCAGAGTGTTCTTTCGAGTTTTACCTCATAGTCAGTGGTCGATTTATGTTGTAATCAATGACGGTTTGTTTATTTATTTATTTTTTCGTTCTAATATTACTTGATATGATATAAGAAAGAATCTACTATAAAACAAAACAACATTCGCATGATGATCGAAATAAATTCTCGTTTGTTTGTTTTTATCCATTAAATTTTTCTCTTTCTAATGAAATATTTTTCAATTAATTTTTCAGGCAATAGCAAATAATCAACGAGAGAATCGAACCACTTCTGATCCGCCAAGTGAACGTGAACTGATGATTAAGCAATATTATTCACAAAAAATTCTCGACGTAGAAACAAAATTACAATTAATAAATGGCAAAGGAATTGCTTTTTATAATGAAGTATTTGAGTTTTCTTTATTAAATACAAAGTATCTATTATGCTTTTCTGTTATATAATTAGCTAGCAAATATTCATCAACGGCTAAGAAATTCCAAAGATCAAGAAGTTAAATGTCGAATTGAAATCGAACAGTCACAACAAGAGTTAGCAAACATGAAGGTTTGTCTAGGTTTATTTACAGAAAAGAAGAACCTTGTGACTATTTATTGACTTAGGATGAATTAGCAACAACAACCAAAGGTTATGAAGAGCAAATAGCAACAATGTCTGAACATTTAGCATCTATGAATGAACAGATTACGTCACAGAATGATAAAATTGATAAACTTCAACAACAATTACACATAAATCCAAAGGTAGCTATTAAAAATAAAACAAATTTCTTATCTTTTTCACCACTTATTTTTATTTCGATCTATAGGATGGGAAAAAAAGCAAAAAATGAAATGAACTGTTTTTCTTTTTTATGGCAACATAAAAGTACGCGAAATTACGATGATAGTCAGTTTTATATGTTGATTGATTTATTTATGTTTGATTCTTCTATAATACTTATGAAAATTTATTAATTCAGTTTTTCGAGTGTTAATGTCTGTTTTTCACATGTATTTTGATAATCTGTATTGATATATGTAATAGGTTGTATGTGTCTTTTCGACAATATTTAAGAAAAAAAAGAGCCATCCATTTCTTCATGATTTATGGAAGGTGATGATAGAAAAACGAATATTATAATCAGAAGAAAACGACTTTGTTGATATAATCATACTATATAGATTAATATTTAGCAACTCTTTGGAAAATTTTTTATTATTGATTATTGTTTTTGAAAAAAGATTCATTTATATTAGTGAGAGGATAGTGTGTGTGCTGATTGTCTGCTGAAATCTGCGTAGTTTTATTATTGGCAATCTCATTTGGCACAACTCTGATTTAAACACTTGACAATGTAATCAAGCATTGAATAGTATAGAACGTTCGATTTTCATGCACAAGTGGCAAAGAGGAAGCATGATAATCAAGTAGAGATAACAATAGTTAGTAAAACGATTAAATCGATGATATGGCACTGTGAATCGTGTTGTGAGTTTGAAATGAAAACAACCATCTATTGAGACACAAGTATTATAAAACTTCTATTTGAGCTTTTAAACTCATTAATCCTGATTCAAGTTGCAGCTTGAGTCAATTTTGTTACTGACTAAAAATGTTGTGTTTGCAATGCACAAGCAATTAAATTGGAAAAATCTATCATAATAATAATTCAGTGATGAATTCCGACATCTACCGTCGAGATTAATAAGTGTTTAATTAAACTAAATATGATCTGATATATTGATTACTTTGTCAATGAAAATAATCATCGAGGCATAAGTATAAAATAGAAAGTTCGATATGAATTGAGAATACTATACACTCTAATAAAAAGAAGTATTAAATAAATTTCTTTATGAATTACAGTTAAAACTTGACTACATCTAATGTGTTCAATTGGTGATGACTAAATTTTGCAATTTATATATCTAGACAAACTAAGACTTCGCAACTTTCCAAAAACGGATCTTAAATAAATATTAGAAACCAAACTGATTGTTTCGACCATTCAAAGATCGTATAAAGGATGTTTCACTTTGTATTATTTTATTATCATTAGTTTTAAACTAATCAATAACGTCTGTGATTGTTGCTGTTTGTAAGAAATTGTCGAAATCTCTAGAATTATTCTTTCACAAAATAGAATGCTATAATGTAAAGCTATAGATTGGAATCAAGAACATTATCTATGCTATTCTTATGCACATTTTTCAATCATAGTATTAATTGACAATCATACAGTTTTAGCTTACTTTTACAGGCTTCTATTCATGTTTTATAAAAGATTCTATGTAAAACAAGTATTCTCATTAGACGAATGTTGCTAGAGTACATAATTATTTAGGTTTTCAATTTTTATAATATTTACGCTGATTTTAATATCATCTTTTAAATAACATTCTAAAATATTGTTTCACCTAACAGACAACTAATTTTGGAATAGATTATAAAAACAATGGAAATTGTTCTTTTGACTTTCTGGAAAAGCATTTTTTTCTGTTTTGTTTCATTTATCTATAATCTATGTCGAATTGTTTTTTCATATTCCATTGACAACTCAATTTTCTAACTCAAAATTGGCAAACGATCGTTTAAGTTTTACATCGTCTTCTCTTTCATTTTAATTGTTAATTTCCGTTAGTTCCTCTTGTATTCCTCAATTTTGAAGTAAATCTTTTTGGAACCATGTCGTTCTCTTTTTCTTGATTGGGCCTGATAGTCCTAGTCGAACTTTTTTATTCATGCGCTTGCCAAAACTTGAGCTCAAGATGTGTCCATTGTGCTTGACTTTCTTGCTCAAGAAAGTCAAGAATTGCATGCGCTTGCGAAAAAAAGTTCGACTAGGGAGCTTGCATTTTCTATTTTCTATCCTATGAGTCGAAATAGTTGATTGATAGGAAAATCTGAGTCGACGTAAGAAAACTCATCTTGTTGTCTGTATAACTTCGTTGGCCTTGAAATTTTTACGTATGAATCAAAAGTAAGCTATAAGTAAAATCGTATTTCAGTTGAAAAAAAAATGAGTGTAACACATTTCTATATATTACAAATTTGTTTATTCTAAGTGAGAGAGGTTATTGGTTTGGATATGCCGATGAACAGTTAGGATTGAGATGACTCATTCTTTTTTGAATGAGTTTGGATATAAATAAGATAAAAATTTATTATGATTCCGTATTGAAAAAAGCAAGTGGCGTCATGTATATTTATTAACTAGCTGTGTACCACTATTCTTTCTAAGATAAGTTAGATATCAACGTAGATGCCTATTCTTACATAAAATAAATTGATCTCTTTATCGGACTTTTCGACACAGAAAATCTTTGTTTAGACCCTATAGAAACTGAAGTCACATATGGATTTTTTTCAGTCTCTAATCTTCGACTTCTTTTTTCCAATAGAAGTCAAGAACATCGATCCTATTAAGCATTAAATTGACCAAAGATCATGTCTAATAAAACAACGTTGTATATACAATGGTTTTTTTGTCGTAAATATATTTACTAATATTATAGCAAGTTGTCAAATTATACTTGGATGTATATTCATATTTATTTTACTATGGGATCGAGCATATCGATTAGTATCGAATTGTCTTGCTGCCAATATCGTTTTTTCAATAACATTTTATTCAGTTACTACACTTTCTATTTCAATGAAATTTGAATATAAGATCACGTTTCAATAAATTTGACAAACTGTACAAATTAATTGTTATAGTCGACTAACAATTTTAGGCAATGTGATCGTCATTCTGATCTATGTATAGAACGCAGGTTCAGCTTTTTTTGTAATTTTATAAATAATGTCGCGTCAACAGCTATCATTTATTCGTTCGCCATACAATCGATCCATCATCTGATTGCTGTAATGTTCGCACATAGTATTTGTTTTCAAATGTATCAAATTCGATTAGCTTTTTGTATAATTCAATCGGCTCTGACTTTTCTTTTCACATGCTACTTTACCTATTGGAATCCTCACCTCAAGTTCGATCCGGCTAGTTATACGTGGGTTGTGTCAGAAAATTCGAGTATTTTTTAAGATTTATACATATTATTTATCGGATTTGTTCTGCCAGCCATAATTAATGTCAGTGTTTATATAAAATTAACGTTATTTATTGGACAACTGCAAAGATCGACCGTACTCAGGAGATCATTATCAAGTAAACAAGAATTTCATATGTTTAACCATATCATTTTGCTCTGGGCAATAGTTGCATTCAGTTTATTACCAGGAACAATCTTTCGAAGTATGACATCGCCACCGGATTATCAATATCGTGTTTATTATCTTGCCGAAGTTACTATTACTTTTTGCTTTGCTGTTTTATTATTTGTTTTTGCATTGCTTGTCAGACAACGAGTGATTCGATGGAAAATGAAAATTGAAATTTTAATGAATGGTCGAAAAGAAATACTCACAACTATTCTTCAGAGAAATCGTTACTGATTTCACATATTCATTTTTCTTTTTCTTTTCTTATTATATTGATTCCATCATGTATAAATACAATAAAATAAATCTGCAAATCATGTCTTCTACCAAAATACACATCATGTTCAAATAATGTCCTTATTTTATTAAATTTCGGAAACAGATTCTTAAAAAGATTCTCTTTTAATATTCTTTCTGTGATAATATGCTAAAGATTGGTAATTGCTGAATTGAAACACGTGCAAATATAACAACATGGCCGTTTTATAGTTGTTACTTCTTCACAAATAGAAATTATGGATTATTTATTTTAAGTGAACGTTGCAGTAACCGTTTGTAGAATCGAAATAAAATTTGAAAATTGCAAAAATCAACAAGAAATATCAATGCTATTTGTTAAGCTGTAATTCTGATCAGCTGAGAAGCTCTTGATCGAATAGCAATAATGAATGCAAAACTGGCATTGGCTATTTGTCGAATTATTCCATCATTGGTTTTAGAAAGTAAACAAAAGTTTAAACTACTTAAACTAACAAAATAGGACTACAAACTCACTGTAATCAAACACAATTGAAGCGAACTTCTAGAGATTTTTACTATTTACTAAGCAGTATTTGTTGTTTGTAAAAAATGTATTCTATGATTATAACTAGATTGTAGTATAAAGTCAGAAAAATTGAGTTTTTGAAAACAAAGACGGCGAATGAGTAGGAGAATTATTCGAAAAAGTGGCATCTAAATTAGTTCTGATGTATTTTTTTCTTCTGATTTAGAGTTTTAAAGTTAATGTTGCTATTGGAAAATTGTCTTCATTCAATCTTCTTTTGAATGTTTGAGTTTTATGGCTCGCGATTCACTTAATGAAATTTATTTTTCATAGATTCGTAGATTTTTCCACTAAAGAAACTATGATTTACATAATCACATGTGTACAAATACGTTTGTTGATTGTCTATAGATAGAAAATTCACACTATCTCAGCAAATTTTCTTTAGAAAATATTTTGATCTTATTAGAATTTTGAACCGAATGATTTTTTTGATAAAATTTCCAAACGAACCGAAGTTCTCAAAATGCATTCGTATTATCCTCGAATGAAAACCAAATCAATACAAATAAGAACCAGAAATCATTTTTCAGCAATAAAAAGTTTTGTTAACCACAGCAGTGTACAAAAAAAATATGATCGAAAATGAATGTATTCTTCTTTCTAGCGTTCGCTTTTCTCCGTATGAGTATATATCAAGACTTTCTCATTATAGAATACATGAAACTATAATTGTGAATAATCATTTTACATTCTTTTATTTCAAACATTATAAATACAATTAATAATCTTGCGATCAAATCAAGCATACTCAAATGAAAAAAAAAGCGAAAAAAAACAAATTCACCGGTTAACTATCATCATAATATGCTGGCATACCTATATCTTTGTAGTTTCTATCTTTTATTTTTCTCGATAATATGAATTTTATCAGTATCTGGTATCGGTCTAGGCAACCATGATCTTTGCTCTTGCACTGCACGTCGAATAAACTCATACTTTTGATTAATTAAACGATAACGCTTCATGAAATAAGTTTCTAACCATTCAATAGCAACTTGTACTGAAAATACTTCATCCATTGATTTTTGAAACGATTTAATAAATTTTTTTAATAAATTCATAATTGGTGTTAATTTATCTAAACACTCTTCACCACGTTTAAGATGAATATAATTATATTTGACATGAAGATCGGTAACAAATCTATTTACAAAAGATTCAACTTCTTCAACTTTAATCCAAAGCTGAACAAGAAAAATCATTGATTCGTAAATAGCAGCACCTGGAAATTTACATCTAAATAAATTTAATGACTTTCAAAATACACGTTCGATAAAGCACCATGAATTTACTTTGGAATCAATTTATTTGCATGTTCTTGAATATTTAAATGAATACTTGATGAACATTGGAGTTGTTTGCCAATATATTCTTTTAATTGGCTATTTGAATAAAGACTGGCTCTCGGAAGACTTTTAAAGGGTTCTTTCCAAGCAGCTAATGAAAAAGCCATTGCTGGAATCGAATATGGTAGTAGTTCACATAATGACAGAAAATGATCATATCGTGACCAACCAGTTAGCATAACTCCATCGAAGTTTTTCCACTTTGTTGGTATATATGAATTCAATTGTTGAATCCACGACACTTGATCTACATAAATTTAATTAAAATTAATTCTCAAAATCTTTTCGTTTTTTATTGTTTTACTTTCATAATAATGTTTAACATCACTGATAGTTGCAATTTCATCAGTTGCGCCTTTAAATGCTGAAGCTCCCCATAAACTCTTGAATTGTCCAAAGAGATTTGCTTGTGAACCAACAATGAACCCTTCAACACTTATATCTTCTCTATATGACCATACAATAGGATTGATTACATTCATTAGCTGATATTTTTTTAAGATGTTAATGTTTAAATTTTGTAAAACATCATGCCAAACAAATAATGATAGATTAGGATTTTTTTCTCGGATATAATTAGCAATTATACTAAGATGATATGCAAATAATTCATGTTGAGTACTAACACCAGTTAAACGTTGAAATTCTTCACATGCTGGATTTGTTAAAAAATAATAAACTTCATCGTGACCAATGTGAAATAAACGCATATGTGGATGTAAGTTTAAATATTGATCGATCATAGCAAATAATATGGAATATGTTCTATTTATACAAGGAGTTATTACTTGAGGATATTTTGGATTTTCACGTAAATCACTGAATTCTTTCAATTTTAATAGAAATTCCAAATGACCTATTATAAAAGGTAAATATAGAAATTTCAGTTCTAGTTTACATAATATCGTAATAAAATGTTTTTAATTGATAATTACTGCTTGCTTTCATTTAAAATACACTATCGATATGGTAGTGGAATTTTAACCGTATACGTATATGGATGTTTTTTGTAAATCTATTTGTAAAATTCAAGTATGTATCGAACAAACAATTAGGGATATTTTTGTTGACCTAGACAAATTTTATTTATCTATATATCTAGTTGACTTCATTTTTATGATGGGAAATCATCTTGTTGATTTTGAAAGATCACTTATGTGAGCATTAAAAAAAATATAAGAATTCACCTGGCTAGTATTAAAGAAATACCTATTAAGAGTCTAATCCATATCCATACTATAATCACGACTACTTTTTATATGCAGACAAATATTTCAGCAATGAAATAAAAATCGAATAGAGTTGTACAAATTGAAAATAAATGCGAAAACCTCGGATTTAAATCCGAGTGTTATGTGTACTTCAAAAAGTGAAAAGGTATATTAACTTTTTTTTTCTATAAGACATAGATCTCATCAAGATAATCCCTTGTCACTAAATTGCAAGGAGAAAATACAGGCGTNACTGTGTAGAAAATGTCATCATGATCTAACTCTCCTTTCGAGAGTTATCGTGTAAACGGACGGCCGGACGGACACACTGGCCGATTCTAGAGTGTACTCACTTTTTTGAGTACACAAAAACGAGAAGATGTTTTTTAAGTTTTACTGCTAAATCAATAGCATATAAAATGTCAACGTGTTCCTAAAATTTCCTTTTTTCCTCCATAAATATAATCTCACCGAAATGATAGGCGAAGATATCAAGTTTTCATTAGTAAAGTAATTGATACTTATAGAAAAAAAAAACTTTTTGTTCATATATCTACATTTATATATATATATATATATATATAACATTTTTCTCAAGATCTAACTGAAACATTTTTTTTAATAATATTCTTTAGGCTGATAATATGACTCACCATAAGTTTGTAATAGAGGCATAATATCCAAATGATTATCTTTTGCTAATTGATTGATTTTTTCAATATCATTCTTGGTATAAGCTTGTTTATGTTTGATATTATTGACGATACCGTCGAACGGAAACATATCTTCATATTCCATGCATATTCCATTTGCACCCAATCTGTGTAATAATGGGAATAGTTGTTCAAAATAAGATATTTTAGGTGCTGCACCTTTTAAATCAAAGTGAACATAAACTGATATCAGTTTATTAGCTATATTAGTAGGTTCAAATGGCGATGAACTATTTGTCTGAAGTAAAAGACGTCTTTCAAATGTTGAAACATGCTGAATTGGTTCAGAATATACAGTATGCAATTCCTATAAAGAGAATATGTATCACAATTCAGCCATTTTTTAAGGTTTACTTCACGTATGGCATCGTGAGATTTTACATTATTGTTATGTTCATGATCAACGTCAAATTGTTTTAATAAATTATTTTCAGCTGGTCGAAACTGATAACTAGCAGACTTTTTATGAAAATATTTTGTAAAACCTTTTATAATCAAGAAAGATGTGGAAAGAAGAATCAAGACAAAAAATATTCTCGATAACAGTGCACTTAATTGACGAATAGGTAACATTAGAATTGATCATTAGTTGTCAAATATTAAAATCTAAAAATAATCTTTTATTAAAATATAAAAAATTATAAAAAAATATTCGTAATACTTTCAAAAATTGAAAAGAAAAATTCAGTCTATTGAAGCATACTGTTCATGATAGAATAAATGTTTCTAGCTCAATAAAAATAAATGAAACCTGTGAATCATCCATGTTCAAAAGAACAGAGAACAAGTAATAGTGCATAGCTTCTGTTATTAATGAAAGTCTTGAACAGCTTCTTCTTAATAACTTTGTTTTCAAAAAATGTCAATACAAAAGTTGCGAGAATAGCTGTTTTCTATAAATTTAAATACCTATTCTAATGTGATTTTGTTTTTGCATTTATGTAACTTTTCTACATATAAATTTTAATCACAACGGTGAAATATTGAAAAATTGCATGAAAAAAAGAAGTGATACAATTTGAAATGAATTATTTTATTTCTCAAATAGATCAGAAATTTAGATATGAAATAAGATTATCAATTTACATATTGATTTTGTTCTATAAATTCGATAGATTTTTAAAGAAAAACTAGTTGATTTTTATGTTTCTCTCACAGCTATACTCATCTCCGCGAAAAAGCAACACTAGAAGTAAAACACTGTTACTCTTTTTTCACACGAAATTGTTCTCGTGTTCGTACCAAACCATGTTTACCTTTCTTCTCTCCTTCTCCTTTATTTCTATATAGAATGGCACTGAAACTGTTAAAAGAACCGAACACATTGATTTTTTAAGTGCAACCCGTTTATGAATACATTGCATTCGGTCAAATATTATATTTTAGTTGACTTTGATATGTAAACTCGTTGATGTTATTTCATTGAAAAAGCAGTAGAAAATATAAAAAGAAAATTTACCTCCATATATTGCTTAAACGAGATAGAATTCGCATTCTATTATCAATTAAATAAGAAAACAAAGAATTGAATACCATTAATGCATTAAATATATATTTTCTCTTTCTTTCTTCTCAGCGTTACAACATCCGCTGGCATGATCAGTGCATAGACTTGTCTATTGTAGGTGCTCGACTCGATTGAAATTTAATGAGTTCCCTTTTTTCTTCTCGTTCGTTTTACATATGACAAAGAAAAAGAAACACAAAAAAGAAGCTTCAATAGAATAGGTAAAGAGTTTAATGCCGTGTAGAGTTTGTGTTTCTTTTAGAATGTTGATGATTGAGCGATAAATTAGCATTTTTTTTTTCTCTTTTTCCTTTTTTCTCTGACTAGTTTGATTGAAAGCTGTCATTGAAATACTTTTGTTCTTCATGGCACGGTCGAAAGTGTATTTTGCAATGTGATACTTCGCGTAGTGGCGAAAGCATCGAAAGAAACAAGAAAGAAAAAAAAAGAGAGAAAAGGCAAATGTTCAAGTCAAATTATTATGTCAATTTCGTTGGAGAGCATTGCATCTTTGAAATTCCATTCAATATTTCAACTCAGCTTTCGCACATTGTGTTGTGTTAGATCTTGTCAAATATACAATCTCAATCGTCTTTGTCGAATCAACAGAGTTGATATAGTAACGAAAAATAAATAAAACAAAATCAAAAACGTATTAAACTATAAAAAACATGAATCAGATTTAAAAAAAAATAAGGATGTATGAATTTCATTATTTCTTTCACGTCTTAGTCAAATATGACAAGTAATGTCTATTTATTGAATGTTAGACGAAAAAAAAGGAAGCTGCAGTCAAAGTATACCATATGAAGAACTAGACATATTTTACAAAAGAACCAACATTGTCTAAGCATATTTGTTCTGTTTTAATCAATAAAAAGAGAAAACGATCTTTTTCGATCATTATAGTAAATAAAATGCAAAGGAATCCTAAACTATTCAGATAAATTAATGAAGCAACCAAAAATTATTATGTTGAAAAACATTTTTAAGAAAAAAAACTCATTGTTGAATTTTCTAATCAGCAAATATTCAAAAGTCTTATGACAATTAATCAATAGTTGAGTATTTTGATCAAGTGTCATCAAAACAATGTCTAGCATACTTAATTAGTTTTGGAGAAACAATGAAATTATTGTATCTTTTATTGTACAAGTAAATTGATTAGCTAATGACTTCCAGCCAACCATTGTACAATCTGACTTTTTTTCTAATTTTTTGTCTATTGCTTGATCGAGTATAAGATGATACAAACCTTATAGTTTTCATTCTGATAACAACTATGAGCCATGTGTATTATAGAAATTGTCTGCTGGCCATATTTAGAATAATCGTCAATGATTTCACAATGGGATTGTCTGTTTTAATGAATCATACTTCGAATTCCATAATTAAAAAGATTATATTAATAATTAATGATTACTTTCAATAAGAAATCCGGAAAATAGTAGTTATGATTCAGAAAAAAAGCTAAGTTATCAATATCGATACATCTTTATAGTATTTATGACTCATAATTATGGGCAATATAATAATCGAGCGCAAGTTGTATCTTATCCGATCGGTTGTTCTATAGGAAATAGTATAACTAATTAACTAAATTGTGCCAATGAACGTTGAATACAACACTGTTCAGTTACTCTTCAACTGTTCAAGATTTAGAAAGCATTTTCGAAATCATTTTTAAAATACTAGCCAAGAAGTTAACAGGTTAAAACAAAACTTATAATTACTGAAATATTTAAAATTTTAAAAAGATTTGAGTGACTGTATCAAAATCAGCAGCACTAAAAAATTTCGTATGACACTGTTTATTGTTGGTGAAAAGAAATGTTTCTCATATGAGGTATATTCTATTCCACAGAATTCGTATTATTCTTTTCATAGATATAATTAGTTATTCATTTTCTTTGATGAAACGTATATGGAATAATTATAGAAATGTTTTTTATGATAACTTTCAATGTTTTCTTGTCAAATCATAGATGATATTGACGGTATGGTATTGACTTGATATTTGTCAAAGAAAATTTTGTTGCGAATTTGTTTTTATTGCTATATAAACTTGAGAAAAACAACTTTTCAAATCTTATTTCCTTTTTTTCCAAATTTTCTTGTACGGTTCGTTGGTAACGACAACTCAATGGGGGAAAAGCTGATTTCATTGCTTCCGAGTGATTCCATTGATTCTGTGTGATTCCAGTACTATAAAATCAATTGTTTTCTCTTTGATTTTTTTATGACTAAACAAAAACCAATATCAGATTCGTGTTCAGAATGAAAAACTAATTGTAATCAAGATGAAAACAGCTGAATCCAGAGCATTAGAATCATGCGGAATCAACGGAATCACTTGGAATCAATGGAATCACCAGAATCAGCTTTTCCCCCCTTGCGACAACTACAGTATAGCAAGATACTAACGCAACAGAATCTATGTGTGTGGGAGAAGAATAAGAAAAAGAAAAAAGCGCTGATAAAAGTGGTGGCGTCAGAACCCGATTGATGGTAGTGCATTATTCTTTCTTTTTTCCCGCATAATTTCTTTTTTCTCTAGAATGAAGACTCATAGTCTACTATCCTGTGTTTTAAGTTTTTACTCGATATTTCTGCTCATATCAGCAGAGAAATCATCAAATACATTAGACATTCTTATGCCTGATGTTGTTGCTACTCATGTTAGTAATATTGAACAAAAATAAAAATAAATGTACTATCATATCATTCTATTAGGTCGACGATTATCTATGCACAGCATATGCCATGGATCAAGATAAAGCAACTTATATAAGTTAGTATTAAAAAATGATTAACTTTTATTTTCTTGAAGTAAAATTTTTCAATTTTTTAGCCTCTTTCAATCCATCGGCAACATCAAACGATGCTCATCATATTTTACTTTTTGGATGCACAGAACCAGGCAGTCAAGAAAAGATTTGGTAAGATATTCAAATAAATAGACTTAATCAGAATATTATTTTTATTTTGTAGGAATTGTGGTGAAATGTCTTTTGCAGATGACAGTTCTGCACAAAATTACAAAAGTGCACCAACTTGCGCCTCAGGTTCATCTATTATTTATGCGTGGGCTTTAGATGCAGAGAAAACTGAATTGCCGCAAGGTAAAATTTCTAATATTGAAAGTATAACTTTGAAATGCATGAAATTCATCTTAGATGTTGCTTTTAAACTTGGTGGTTCAACGCCAATAAAATATCTTGTATTACAAGTTCATTATGCCAATCTAGACAAATTTAAAGGTAATTTATTCAGTAATGTCTATTTGAATAAATATAATACATGATTTTAGCTGGTGAAACCGATCGCTCGGGTTTAATTCTTACCAAGTCCTCTACACCGTAAGTAAATGGATTTCGTCTAGTAAACAATGAGTCATATGGAATTATTTCTGCTTATTTACGAAACAAGTTTAGGGATTTTAAAAGCTTCTCTTACGTTTACCGTTTCATTTGATTTACATTTTTATAAAGATTCCCAAAGACTGCTGGTGTAATGTTGTTAGCAACTGGTGGTCAAATGCCACCTTATTCATTTGGTGATTGATTTTTCCTACTAGTTTTGTAGTTTCAATTTTCATTCTATGCTTTTGTGTGTGCTTCGTATTATTTGCATATATTCGTTGTGTTTACATGTAGTACACCTAAACGCGCTGGTGTTTTCCTTCTTTTGACCGGTGGTTATATTCAATCGAATACCGAAGGTCAGTTCACATCCCTCCTTTCATGTATCTTGCACTGTTTATGTTTGACATGCTTTATGTTTATATTTGACTAAGACATATTCTTTTATTTTGTAGAAGTTTTCGAAGCTGCCTGTCGAATTGATCAAGACATTGAAATGCATCCATTTGCTTTTCGTACTCATGCTCATAAACTTGGTAAGATTGTTTTTTTTGTGTTTCTAAGAAAAAGGTATTATTTATTTTCAATAAAGGTCTCGTAAATTCTGGATATCGAGTACGTGGTGAAGGTGATGACCAAGAATGGACAGAAATCGGCCGACGTTCACCTCAATTACCGCAAATGTTTTATCCAACTCAAAATGATGTCACAATTAAACAAGGTGACTATGTTGCTGCAGCTTGTACCATGTATAATTTACAATCACATATTGTGAGAATTGGGTATGAATAATTTTATATTTTATCAATAAATTAATGTTGATCATTTAGTTCGACTGGAAATGATGAAATGTGTAATTTTTACATGATGTATTGGGTTGATGGTGATCAATTATTACAAAATGATGTTTGTTCAAGTTCTGGACCTCCAAGATATTATTTTGGACACGATCGTGTATGTTCATCTCTTCTATATCTATTTAAAGGACTTTGCTTTTCTTTATTTATTATTTAGGATTTGAATGTGGATAAAATTCCTGAAACTGCATTCCGTGTTCCACCACCGCCAAATGGTCCAGCACCTGGTGAACCTTTACTGGGCGGTCATCATCACATGACGATGCAACACAAAGCTAATCCACGCAAACGACAACATCGCTATCAATATATCTTTTAGAGTTCAAAGAAAGAGTATTAATTTTATTTTTGAATATGATTTATCCTATTGATCTAACATTCAAGTCAAAATAAATACTATACATTATACGTGCAATAAAAATGAAAACGATTTTTATACGAGACTGATCTTGGATTTTACAATATGCTTTGTGTTAAATCCAAAGTTATTTCTGTTTTTTTTTGTTCAAGATAGAAATTAACATGAGATTGTCGCAAATGGCTTCCAAATAATAGCCATAATGTTAATAATGCATGTGAAAATTAACATCTGTTCGTCAGCTTTATATTTTTGAGATAGACATTCTATTGAAATAAATAAATTCTCTTAGTAACTACATCCTTATTGTGAGTATCATTTAGTAAAAATCATACTAACATTTTATCATTAAATGACGCTGTGACTAGTTGCGATCTTAAATATGAAGTAATAAATAGAGGAAAAGTGTTAGTTTCTTTTCTTTTTTAGCTTTTTCTTTCTTTTGATGTGTGAAATATGAATCGTATCGGTTTCAGTAAGTATAATTTAATACGACATATCAGCATTTACAAAAATATTGTTCACGACCTTTTTTAAAAGAAAACAAATATGAAAAAGAATATTTTTATCAAAAAGAATATAAAAAAATTATTGAAAAATGAGGACTGAGATTTGTTGTACTCGTTTCTCTTCACCAGTATCTATATGCTTAGCATAGGTTGCAACAGATATTCTAACAACTGTCTTATCCACCATGAATTCTGTAATAATGGATACTTCCCTGCTACGATATATAAAATCTAAATATTATTAACATCTCCTTTCACTACTTACGGTACTTGCACAAAATTTTATTTATGTTGTTTCGTTCTCATTAACTATGAGAGATCCACAAAGGACGAAGTCCATCATACAACTCTTGTGAAATACGAAGGCAATACAAGATCATTTTCATACGTGCTCTGTACTCATTCATTTTAACACGAAATAAATAACTTATTTCATCATCGAGATGAGTTAACGGTAGGTAGTTATTGAGAAATTGAAAAATGTGCTCTTAAATCCCTCGTTGATTATTTAAGTAGTTCGATAGTATTTTTATTCTCTAGGGATTAGACTAGCAACTTTTCAGTTCTTGTCAATTAGTCTGCATTGCTTGAAGGCTCGAGAATTGTGATGTTTTCGAACATCGTTTGACCTTGAGTTCACAACGTATATCTTAGAATTAGACCTACAACAGGTAATTAGACAGAAAATACATTTTATTAAAAAAATGAATAGTATCTACAATTGATAAAGAATTGAAATAACTTTAATAAAATAATATCATGACAAAGCACAAGGTCTTCTTAAGAAACATTTGAATCGTTGAAAGATTTTTTTCATAAATCATTTATTTTTACACATCATCAAAGAGATAAAGGTGATAGTAGTTTGTTTCATATTGTGAATTAAAAACATAGCCTAATTTTTATTTTACGTCAGCCATTAACAGTTCAAATAAATAGCATCTTTTTTCGTTTTATTCTTGTATTCAAGTCTATCAAAATTTTTCGATTTCCTTAAATATTACCAATGGGTACGGAAGATTTTTTCTTCTTCCAACAAGAGCATCAAATTAGCACAAAATTTATCCTTAGATTCATTTTTTTTAAAGATTAATATTCTATTTGTAACTATTAAAACTTGTCATGATTAGTATAAAACTAAATCTTCGTGCAAAAATAGAGTTAACATCTTTTTTATATTATTTCATAACAGTATTTATGCGTAGCTATTATTATTTGATGGCATGAAATGGCGACTCAAAGGCTATGTCAAAGCGTCAAAATAAATGTAATCATAACCACCTGTTCTTGATTAGAACAAAGATTATTTTCAAATAGATAGATTTACGACTCTATGATTAATTGTGAAAATTTGGCACATGAAGAAAATATTTTATTCTTGAACAAGAAGAAAAATGCAACAGAGGATTTTTAATTATTCGGCATTAACTATTTAAGTTTAGTGACCTTATTTTAAGAATAAAGCAAAATAATTAGATATTTCTAGATGCAATTTGTTTGTTTAGTGTACAACACTAATAATAGTAGAAGCGACCGTCTTCCTTAAAAATATGAGTATTATAAATATAATCTTATTTTTGTATTTTCTTTACGAATTAGTTGGTTTTTCATGTGTTAAAGATGATTTCAGGCGCTTCATATTTCATTATATATATATATATATGTATGTATGTTCTATTTATATGATGATATCAATTTCAAAAAATTGAAATAAGAAAATATTTTAATTACTTTTATATTCACAGCGAATCTGATTGACAAATCTATATTCTATTTGCACGATGAGGTACACCATTTAGTATTAGCTTGCCTATTTTTCTCATCTGTCGTTATATCCCTGTTTTTTCTCTCTCAATCGACCTATAAAAGACGTATTAATTCGAAAAATATTGAAAATTAAAGTACTGAATACAATTATGAAAGTCTATTTAGCCTTGATATATCTATGGTGTATTATACAATTTAGTGATGCTGATTGGGTTCGTGTATGGGAAGATAATTTCGATTGGGATGGTGGCATTGATCTCAACAAATGGGAATTTGACGTTGGTGGTCATGGCTGGGGTTCGTTATTTCTTTTTATTTATCTTTTATTTCTTTTTAAGTATAGGAAATAATGAAAACCAATATTATACACAAAATCGAATAGAAAATGCTCGTTGTGAGCGCTTTCCAGGTAGTGCAAATGGTCGTTTGATCATTGAAGCACGCAAAGTAGGATACAGAATTCATTGAATTCAGATTACTTTATTAGTTTATAATTCGACTTTTATTAGGAAGATTATGGTGGTAGTCGGTTTACTTCAGCTCGTTTGAAGAGTAAAGTAAAATGGACATATGGTCGCTTACAAATTCGTGCTTTACTTCCCGTTGGTCGTGGTATATGGCCAGCACTTTGGATGGTAAATTTCAATAAACTATATCAAAAAAAAAATTCTTTTCATAATAATCAAATTAGTTACCTGAAAGACAAGTTTATGGTAGTACCTATTGGCCAGACAATGGTGAAATCGATTTAATGGAACAAGTAGGTTATGATCCATTACGTATTCATTCGACAGTTCATACAAAAGCTAATAATCATATGTTAAATAATCATCCAAGTAATTCTGTTATTGTGGGTGATGCCACGACAACTTTTAAAATCTATACACTTGATTGGAATGCCAATACAATTGAAATGTTTGTTGGTAGTGAAGCTAATCCATTTCAAACGAGAATTTTTGTTTGGAATAAACATGGCGATTGGACAACCTGGTAGATTGGTTTTGAAATGGAAATTGAATTCTTTTTTTTGTTGATCTATTTTAGGCCATTTGATAAGCCATTTTTTGTTCTTCTTAACATTGCTGTTGGTGGTTCATGGTAAGAAGACTTCTGGTTTTTTGTAGACAGGCCTAAACAACATTAATATCTTTTTTTCTGTTATTAGGGGTGGTTCACAAGGAATTGATGAAAATATATTTCCTCGTCGAATGGAAATCGATTGGGTTTACTATTATCAATGGCGTTAAATGTCACAGTTGATTTTTTTTTCCGTTCTATCTTAAAGATCAATATAAATAAATGAATAAAAATAAATGCTTTCGTTTGATTTCATATACCTCTTATTAGTTTGATTTCATTAACAATATATCAAGTAAATACACAATATCGAACGCATCAGCTATGCAATCGAGAACAATTAAAATTGAACTTTATTTACTTTATTTAACATTTTGTTTTCCTAGAACAATAAATATTTTTCTTTAATTTGATTTAGATGTTTTTATTTTTATGATTTATGAGAAAAATCTACTTACACACTCGTTAATTTGCAAAGTTTACTAATTAGATCATACAACAAAACAAAATGTCGTTCTGACATGACTTCATATGTTATTCCTATTTCCTTGAAATAATTAGTCTTATATGCATTTATTCCTGTAGGAAATAAGTTGACGAGAAAGATAAATGTCTAATATACAATTGAACACCAATATATTTGAGTTCAATATTGTCTCTGAAAAATTCTGCTCGTAATATGAGATCACGTAGTGAAAACGAAGGAGGGTGGTCGTTTTGTGGAGAAATTGGCCCCCTCGAAAAATATGATTCCACCTGTCTAAAACACGTATAAATAATGTTTCTAGTACATTTATTCCTTAAACCATGCTAATATCAGCTCGCTCAGTAAACCTTTTGTTTAATGAAAAGCCTGATTGCTATTAACGATTAGACTCAATGTACATGCAACATTCGTGGACTCATTCTACCGGCTTAGTCGCTGTAAATACAAGGGTTTAAGGAATAAATGTACTAGAAACATTGTTTATACGAGTTTTAGACAGGTGGAATCNAAGTGCCTACGTATCCACTCGGTTTTGAACGCTGATTTTGAATATCGTATTAGTTTCGCTCAGTTAGTAGATTTTTCGAACGAAATCTGAAAACTACCAGTGAAAAACAGCATTAACGCGTGTACGTACGTTGATATCTGTCGAGAAATTTTTGGTGGTCAGTGTTTTTCTTTTAATATGTTTTGTAACATTTTGTAGCGCTTGAAAAGTGCTATCGAACCATGCTGAAACCAGAGTGACAGGCCGTTGGCATGGATATTTTTCCAGTGAGTAACTCAAATAGCAGCTCATTTTTTACATACATGATAGAGATGCGATCTATGTGAATTCTCATCAATCGACATTTTTCTTGTGTCTGCATATGCCAACGTGCACCGCTTGAAAAGCTCTATCAAACCATGCTAATATCAGCTCGCTCAGTAAACCCTTTGTTTGATGAAAAGCCTGATTACCATTAACGGTTAGACTCAATGTGCATGCAACATTCATCGGCTCATTCTACCGACTTAATCACTGTAAATACAAGAGTTTAAGGAATAAATGTACTAGAAACATTGTTTATACGAGTTTTAGACAGGTGTAATCATATTTTTCGAGGGGGCCAATTTCTCCACAAAACGATCACCCTCCATTTTAATTTTAATGTCGAACATCTTTTTAAAATATTCGTTTTAAAGTGTAATACTCTGCTGAAAATCATGTCACAACATGCCATATAGCGTGTTCAACTAATCTCTAAATCAAAATCAACATGCATAGTTCACTCAGAAAGATTAAGCTCATTTACTTAATTAAAATGAAAAAAATTCTATGCTTGACTTAGTTTTTTTAATAGAAAAAAGAATATCACGAAAAACTTATCTAATAATACAGATTGAGTAACTTAATTAGTTTATATTTAAATAATTATGCTTCGAAGTCACTTTCCTTGGTAACCTTTTTCTTTCTCTTCTCCTTTTTTTCGTACTTTCACTGAGTTACATTACGATTTGTTGTCTTTCACTAATGTTTAAGAAGCTTTTGCCGTGATTGTTTTCAACGCAGAAAGAAACATTATTTTCTTTACTTATAAAAGATATCCTCATTGCTTTTGTTTTTTCATCAATGAAATATAATCTCCTAACAAATACTTGATAATTAGCTGTTTCCGGGAAAACTTTAAGCGTGCTGAGAAGCTGAAGTCATCATAAATCTGTTTGTCACAAATTGATGTAAGAACAAGACAATCTTGTTTTGTTTATATTCACTATTCGATCGAAAGGAAATGTCATACACGACGAGTTATAATCAAATTTTTGAAATTCTTCGCAAAACCTATTCATCATTATCATCGAGACATTGTATTTTCAGAATGAAGAATATGGAATGATGATAGAACATTGCTCGTTCTTTTAATGATCATCATTAAAATGTCCGAAATAGAAAACATTCACTAATACACACACGCACATACATATATATATATATATATAACTATGCATAAATATATTGATAGACAGATAGATAAGCGAATGTGATTTTCTAAGAAAAACAATATTGTTGAATAATTTATCGCAAAGTAACATTTTCCGCCTACTGTCTTTGTTTTATGTATGTTATCTTGAACGCTAACAACAGCGGAAAATTTTCCATTATTTGTTATTGATTTTTTTTTGTTTTTTTCTGCTTGCTGTCATTTGTTAGTATGCCTGTGTCTATGCTATTCTTGTAAATGAGAATGACGAAGTAGCGCTACTCAAGAAAGATAAAGATTCTGAAAAACGAGCAACAAAAAATAATGTGAGGAAAGAACGTCTAACTGTAGAAAGAAGCGACAATGACAAGCAAAACGCATTTAAATAAAGAACAAACGGTAGGACAAGGCACAGACATCAAGCAGTCAATCCATTATTCAATCTTTAAACTACATTGAAATTCATCAGTCTCATTTATTTGAGTCTGCACAAATGGAAAGAATTCATATGCGTGGTCGGCGATGGTCTGATGCTGTAGTTTCTAAGTAAGTAACGTTTATTATTATTATTATAAAAGTAAGAGAATTTAGATATTGCATGCTAAGTCATCACTCTAAATAATCGTCATAGACATCTTTATTTTGCATTTACATCTATCCATAGTCTACCAACACACAAAAACAATAATTAATAATTAATTGTGAGCAGCTATGTATGCAACTAATATTCAATGAATTGAAAAAAAACTTGAATTGAGAGGGTTTCACTTGAATAAGAAAAAAAAATTAGAATTCAGTTACTGTTCGCTGGAAGAATTTATTTTATTCTAGTTGATGTGTGTTCAACTATCATTATTGTGTTTATGAAAAAGACCTAATTGGATTTTTTACGTTTTGTTCCTTCATGTTGACATTGATAAAAATGAACATCATTTGTGCTGAGTATTTTCTAAAAATAATTTCTATTTGTGTAACACAATTAATGTTAAGATAGACAAGTAACAATGAATATTTTACATGCATCTGCAATCTCATTCAGATGATCATACGTGATGGTAAATTAAAGGAAAACGTATAATTACGGTATCGAGGTCTATGTGGGCGTTTCAGTTATTGATGCGACATGAAGAAATACTTCATCATTATTAAGATGAATAGCTGTCAGGCTACATCGGAAATGCGTCCGTTTCTTATGATGAGAAAATAATCGTTTTTCTCAGCGTAAACGTTCATAATATGTTTCCAAAGTCGTTTAACATGGTGTATATACGTATATATACGGCTGTTTCTTGATTAGAGTATTTATCTTCAGTTTATTGAACTGCATAATTGCAATAGATTGAATATGATTGATTGCTACATTTTTTTTGGGTAGGTGACATAAAATAAATATGTAAAAAATGTCATTATCTCTTTAATCAAAAACAAACGTGTATTTATATTTTTTTGTCGTGTTTTACTTTTTCAAAACCTAACACATGTAATGATTTTGAATAATTAATTTCGAATTATTCGTTAAAGACTTTCTATTAAGAAGTTGATTAAATTCTACTTTGTCTCGCAGAAATTATCAAAAAAAAGTATCTATGAGGTCTGCGTAAATTGATGTTCACTAAGAAGTCGTAGTTAAATTGCTTCTCTGTGTTTGCAATTTTAATCTAATTGTATTTTATCGTTACGTGGAAGTAGAATAGAAGCAATTTGAATCTCTATTCGTTTCATATCTTATGAATTTCGACGAAATACATGAAGAGATGTTTCGATCAATCCAATTATTTATTTATTCTTGTACACATATAATTCTGATTTTTTTTGCATTAGAGTTAGATTCTATCGACCAAGAATACGAGAGAAAATGAACACAGTCACGGGTCAACTAAATTTGAACACATTCAGAAACAGGAAACATTCGAGTGAAACAATGATATATACCCGAAAACTTTTTGTGGGTACTCTTACATCGAACGTCGTTGTGAAATTTCAGTTTTCATTGAGTTTGAATAGTATTTGATAAACATCTCACTTAAGAAATCTAGTGTATAATTCATAATGAAAGAAATACTTATAGTAAAGTTGTATTCTATCTTATGATTCTTTTTCGAATATGAACTCATCATTGAAGAATTCCCAATACTAAAATTCTACTTGATACTTTAAAAAAAAACTAATAACTCAGAAAGAAATCAGAGTGAACCACCTATAATTAATGCTATAGAAAAATTCAATTATATCAGAGAGGTAGCTAGTCTCAAAAAGAATTGTATCAAAATCTAGTGAAATTCTATTCAATAAAATAAATGAAACTGGAAAAGAGAAAGTTCAAAAAATGGAATCTTGTGTTGGACCTCTTTAACAGTAAAATGAATCGAACTTAGTGGAAAAGAGAGAAAAGGAAAATAGCGAAAGAAAGACAAAGAAAACTTCCATATGTGGATATTTTCTTTTCTTTTCTTTTTTTCGCTATTTTCCATTAACACCAATGAATCATCAGATATATGCATGAAAATATTATCTGTTTGATATTAAATGTCTCAATATACTCATCGCTTTTATCGCTTTTCTTTTTCTACGTAGCATTTGACAATTTATAGTGTATCGTACAGAAATTAACAATAAACAATCTTCTAAATTTAACATTTAATTCAGAAAGACACAAATATCATGAAATGTTTGACCATCAATATTTACTCTAGTAGATAAATACAAATGAGTCTCAAACTGATAATAAATGACAAAACTTGTCTAGGAAAAATATTTATTTTACAAGTAATGCAAATGTAATTGTATATTTGCTATCCTGAGAATTAGACTAAAATTACTTGAGTGCAGCAGTTCAAGCACTGAAAACAGATGAACACGCCTTTGCGATTAATTTTGCCGTTAGAATTTCTCTGGCATTGATTATATTTGATACGCAAGTTCTTATAATATTTTTACTATTTTCTCTGTTGAAAATGATGAATATAATTCATTAAATTATAAAATAATAGAATTATGTTAAAAAAAAGTAAGTTATCTATATGCGGATATCTAAAAAAAAAGGTTTCGCATTCTTTTTCTTTTTCTTTCAATTTTGATGATATCAAATCAAGAAATTATTTATTTATGCATTATTGTAATAAGGAATCTTCTTTTTTGGCAAATCAATCTAAAATTTCATTATTGTTTTCTTTTTAAACATACAATGTGTAAGCCATTCGTTGCGTTCTAGTCGATTACATGATTTTACATTTTGTCTATCAATTTGTTTATCATGCAACATGTGATATTGAAGTAAAAGGAATAAAGTCGAATACATTTTTTTGATAATGATAACCATTAAAAATATGAAGAAAAAAACCACATTTTCAAATCTGTATTGATCTTTTTTCTTTCTGGGTTAGTATCAGTACGCTCCTTTTGTACTTATCAGATGAACATCGATGCAGAAATTGTTGCTGACGAATCATGAATAGATCTATTATTATCATTATTAGATGTACACACAAATACTAAAATGAATCAGTAGTAAAAACACCTAATAATAAGAACAACAAGTCGTATCAAAGCTGTTTAGGGAAAATCAACAACAATGTCAAACACCATTGATTGATCATGATATCTACAGAAATAATCAGTGATTGTTTTTCCCTAGTTGATATAAAAAGGTATTAAGCCGCATTATTGTTAAAAAACGCTCGAAGATAATAGATTTATGGTGGAAATAATAGCTATTGAAATAATATTGTAAACAGCTTTTAATCTAATGTAATTGCCATTTTTGAAGAGCTTTATGCAAATAGAACGAACAATAGATAGCTATAGAAAGACACATCGGTTTCCTTTTAACGGAACAAAAAGGACTATAAACGCAGTTGAATGCTGATTTATATGATTCTATAGTAGAAAATAAATCGAGCAAAGTACAGTTCTCTTTTTAGGCTACAAGAAAAAACGAAGGAAAGTTTATTAGTTAATCTTGATTCATCTTCATTGAAACGTTATTTTGCAAATTCTTTCTTTCTTCTTAGGAATTAAGAATGGCTGTCCTAAAAATAATTTCTTTTCTAAATATTCATGAATATGTGCATATATCTATATAATGGCTTGAAGGCATTACTAAAGCACACACATACTTCAAAGCTTTATGAAATCCTTCTTACTAAGCATTATATGAAGCATCGATGATATTGCTTTTAACTAAAAACAAATTATAGGAAAAAGAAATCAAAAGTTCTATATTAATTATCATTCATAGTTATTACTAAACATTTTCATCATGGAGTTCGATCGTAAAATAATGAAAAACGACATGCTTGAAACTATTTTTGAACTTTCTTGTTCCATAATTTTCCTTGGAATCACGACATATTTCCTATCAAATATATGATCTATAATAGAAGGATCATGATCCTTATTTACACTCCATGTTCTTTTTTTTCTGTATTGGATGCTCTTCAGTCGTAGAAGAGTTCTCACTTTCATATATATATATATATGCTGTCTCGGTAGTTCTCTTTTTCTCCCTCCCTTCAACAGCAATTATATGAGAATAAATTCTAGTACTTAGAAATGGGAAAGAATGGCATATAATGGAAAAAAACAGAGAAGAAAACTTTTTCTAGATATATATATATATCCCTTGTTTTGTTATGTGCTCTATTAGCAAAAGCACAAGTGTAAAAAAATAACTTCGTAATGACAACATTACCTCAACAAGAATCGAAATTTTCTGCTGCACTTTCAAAACGGTAGACATTTATTGAATTAAAAATATAATTTAGATTCACTTAAAGATTTATCAGAATAATTATTTCAATAAATTTAGGTTTGAAAATGAAGCTGTATACTCGTTTTTGGAAAATTTTGAAGCTGTTGCACAAAAACATGAACGACGACGACAAAAAATAAAAAAAGATGTATTTAGACGAAGAAAAAAAACTTTTCTTTTTAAGTATTCGTTGTAATTTTCTAGGAAGACATTCAAAATGAAAAATTGCCTGCTGAATATAGAAATATTTTTACTGTAAAACCTAAAAAAATATCATCAAAAGAATATGAATTACTCTATATTGAAACATTATATACAATAAAACATAAAATTGGTTCAACAACATCAAAATACATTCAAGGAGAAAATGATCTTTATATTTATGCACAAGAAGCATTCGAATTATCAAATGAAGATCATCATCGTTTATTCGATAAAGCAAATGAAGAAAAAGTTTGTGTTTCTTTCATAAATATGATAATTCAATTTTGACTTGTTTTCTTGTTCTTCTTAGCCACCTATATTAATCTTAAATGTAGAAATAATTGAAGCAAAAGATCTCGAGGCGAAAGATGCGAATGGTAAAAACAATTAGCTTCTTTTAATAAAATTTCTTTGTATTGAATAAAATAGGATTTTCTGATCCGTATTGTATGTTGGGCATTGTACCTGAAATTCGTCATTCTATTATTCTCCAACAACCGAATGGTGGTGGAGTTTCGTCTGATGAAGAAGGAGCTAATGCTAATTTAGTACATGATAATAAACTTGGTTTTATGAAACGTTTAAAAAGTTTTCGAAAATCAACAAATCGACGTTCACAAGGACGTGAGAAAACGATTTCAACAACTAGTTCAAGTTCACAGAGTAGCGCCTCTTTAAAAGATAAACTTCCTGCAAAATATATTCAAGCAACAGATGTGAAAACAGCAACATTGAATCCGATTTGGATGGAAAAATTCCGTTTGTAAATATATAATACGATTCAAAATCTAAAAAGTTGCGGTCTTCTTTTTTGTTTTTTCCAAGCCGTATAGAAAGCGAAAAATCCGAAACCTTTCATTTGGATATTTGGGATCATGATGATGAATTTTCAGTATTTGAAGCAGCAACCAAATTAAATCAAGTGCAAGGTTTTAAAGGACTTAACCGTTACTTTAAACAAATTGCACAATCAGCACGAACAAATTATTTAACTGAAGGTTCACATGTTGATGATTTTTTGGGTTCAATAAATCTTAAAATAAGTGTATGCTTTAAAGTTCAATTTTTTCTTTGAAACTCTTTTGGCTTATTTTCTTATTTCAATTAGGAAATTCCTTCGACTGGAATTGATAAATGGTTTTCATTGGAAGGTCGAAATGAAAGTTCTAAAGTTCGAGGTCAAATACATATCCGAGCTAATTTAACAACACGAGAGGATCGTGGAATATCTGAAGAAGATAATTGGACGGATATTAAAGAGCATGTTGAACTTTTAGAAATATTTATTGATCATGAATTAAAACAATTCAAGGTTTGATTGCTTTTCCTTTGAATTTAACCTAGAAATAGTATGTCTTCAGATGCATATCTCTACATGATTTTCGAATAATAACACCTAAATAAATGAATAAGACTTTTAATACTATTTTCAAATATTCAAATCTAATCAATATCCAAATAACTATTAGTTTCTTTTCTTTTTGTTAAATTTCAGGGTGAAACAACGCAATGGACAGGTGAATTATCTCGTGGAGCGGAAACAATTTTACACCAACATGCAATACAAGGTGGTATAACAGATATTCAACATTCAATGTGTCGTTGGATAGCATATTCACAAAAATATTCTGAACATATATTAACTTATAAATTATTATTATCAATTACTGAACAATTAGAACAAACATGGAAATCAAAATCATTGAGCAGAGATGAAAGTGATATGTTACGTGAAGCGTTCACAGTATTTATAAACGATTGTTTTAAACAATTAGCAAGAATTCGAGAACTTTTTCCAGCTGCCAATAAAGCTTCGATGGAACGACTTGAACAACTTCTAACGTAAATTCAAAAGAATGTGTATATATATAGATATATATATATTTACTTTATTTATTTTAACTTTAATAAAAGTATTCTCGCGAAATTACATGGTATGGAAGTATTTCGTTATTGCTGTCCGTTTCAAAATAGTCTTCAATATGAATTAACATCTATGATGAAAGTAAGCTTTTAAAAGAAAAATCTGCTTTTTGTAATTGTCTGTTTTATTCAGACAAGCACAATTGAATGGTTTGATCGAATGGCTACACAAATAACAAAACCACGCTTAAGAGTAAGCTTTATTTTAATCAGTATAGAAATGTAAAAATAATTATTCTCATTAGTCTGATGAAGATACATTGAGAAATGCCATTGAACTGGTTTATCTTATGGTTGGAGATGGTAAGTTGATCTCTACCAGATGTTGTCTGTCCATTTAATTTTAACGAGAAAAATATATTATTCATATCATCAAGTTTACGGTATCTGTATAGTTGAGATTAAAGTTTAAACTCTTTCGATGATGCACTATAGACAAATAAAATCATGTTGAAAAACAATTTCAACATAAAAAATTCAACATATTCTTTAATTCATATAAAATTGAGGTGAAACTACTAGTAAGATTACCGGCCATCTTGAATACACAGACATGGTAGATAAAGAACAGTAACACTTCATTTATTTTGAATATCTAATGATGAAAAAATAATATTTAAGAACATATAAAATTTCATTTCTCTTTTTTTAGCTCATTCATCCATTAAATATTACAATCCAATATTTGAATCGTATGTTTTTTCTATAATGAAAATATTTTGCACCGAAATCTGCTTTACTTTTAGTACTGTAAAAATGTCTTTTTATAATATTACATTTAAAAAAATTGATGAAAAAGTAATACCATGATCTTAAATATGTTCATGTATATATTTTAAATTTTCTTTAAAATAAAATAGCTGATGGACATTATCATAAAAGCTCTTGAAGAAGAAGTAAGGTTTCTTATGCTGGTTGAACTTCACAAGTATGTTGTTTTAATTAACAGCTTGGTGATCAAATTCATCAATGTCCATCGAAATTCTTGGAAGTCAAAGAACCTGATTCAGTTGATGTTCTTGCATTTGCATCAGGAGCTGAACAAATAAGTTTATGTTTGTTTGAACTTTATTTATCACTTCACGAATTATCAAAGTATAAAATTTATGTGAATGAAACGTTTGTATCAACAAATTTTAATAACTTTCAGAAGATAAAACCACAAAAAAATGTTTTTCGTTTTTTTTTCTGTTCAGCGATCGAGCAAATCTAAAAATTTCACAATATCATGGTTATTTTGGAGCGGCTGTTAAAAAATGGCTGTCTGTGGCTCGAAATAAAATTCTTCATCGTATTGAACGTTCAGTTGAAAATGATAAATATGAAACTGTATTAACAGCAACATCTAATGTTAAATTTACGGCTTCATCATTAGATGTATCGAACTGTTTCAGTCAAATTGCACAGTTTTGGCGAAGATTAGGTATCGAAAGAAAAGCTTGTCTTTTTAAATGTAACAAAGTTTGTAAATTTAGCATGGCCGGATATGATTAGTTCAATTACGTATCTAATAAAAATAACTGAAGATATGGCAAATGCCGCACGTTTATATGCAACATTAGTTGAAGCGAAACTGAATACAAGAAAAATATGTGAAGCGAATGATGTAGCTTGCTTTACACAAGAAGTAAAATTCATTTTTCTTTCATCTTTAAAATAAAATAATTTCTAATCTTTTTTTAATTTTAGGTTTCTTTAGCTGTCAATGATATTGAACGTATAAGAGAATCCTTCAAAACTTTACCCATTGAATTGTCTTATGATAAATTATTAGTAGCAGCTGAAAAATTCCATCCCATCGCTGTTGTGGGCGAATATAGAAAAAAGATTGAGACAACGGTTGCATGTTGCAGTCAAGAAATAATCGAGAGAATTTATCAAATCTTGAGTAAACTTGCTACTATGATGGAAGTCGAATTAAAACAATATACATTTCATATTATCGAAGCACCAGAACTTGTTTTACTTCAAGATACTGTTCAACCACTGATTACATTTATTGATGTTCGAGTTTTATCATGTAAAGATTTGTTAATAAGACAAAATTTTACAAGGTAACGTAAGTCACAATGAAAAAATAGATATTCGAAACATCAAAGTAAACGAAAAGTTTTCTAACTTTGTTATAATATTTCTTTTCATGTCTAAAGTAAAGCTATTCTAATAGCTTAAGGTAACTCTTTTGAAATATAGAAAAACTTCAATGGAAGAAGACGAACTTCTTATGAAACTAGAGCGACATTTTTATGTTCAAATCTTTTTCCTTCAAAAACTGCACGCATCAATCTATCGATTTTGATTTGATGTTCAACATTTTGTTGAATATTATAAGTCAATGAATGCATTTGCAAAAACTTAAGTACCTTGAAACTCATTTTTATCGAGTCGCATCTAGACGACTGCAATTTTTTTTAAAAGTAACCATCTTAGCTTTTTTGATGAGCTTTCAAACACTTCAGTATAGGAAAAATTATGACGAGATTCCATCAACTGATGGAGATTAAGATTCTCACAAACTTACGATTACAAAGTCATCCGACATATAATAAAGTGCCATGGCATCTATACAAAAATCTTTGAACTGTTGAAATTAAGTGTTCTTTCATTTGTGTCTAGTCTACGAAGTATGAAATGATTTTAGTTACAGGCTTTTTCGATTATATATCACAAAATTAATCATTATTATTTGTTTTTATCTATCTCATGGTTGACTATCTTCTCTATTCAAACAAAATATATCTGATACGATGATTAAAAGTGATAGACAGATCGCTAATATACTGTTTTAGTTTTCGTAAAACTAGGCTAATGTTATTTTACCACAATTGTTCAGACTTCCGAATTCATGGACTTGTCTAAGTCACAAATAAAATACCTTGTTACGCTGGTAATGATGTTGATAAAAATTGATTCATTTTCGTATCATACCGCATTTTCAAGAGTCTAACGTAGCTCTGAATTCGAGATTATGAAAAATATTCATCATAATAGGTTTTTAAATCTGATAAAAATCATGTCTTTTCTTATTTTATCGAATTTTATTAGTAGGTCTTACAGATTTTAAAGCACACTACGAATTGCTGCAGTTAATTCGTTGTTAACATGTGCTTTTGAAAATACTTTCAGTTGACATTTTTTACAAAGTCAATTTACATGCATTTTTAAAAGTTATTTTCACTTAATAGATTATTAGAACTTGTTTGGGCTATTGTAATGGATCAGTTTCTATCTGAAGTCGAACAAACATTAAACCCAGTAAGTAGATTACTGTCTTTGCGACTTGATTTTCTAGCTGCTTATTTCCAATAAAATCTAGAGAACAAACTCATCTTATGCAAGATTAATGAAAGCTTTAGATTCATTAGTTGATTACTTTCATTCTGATGAACAAAATTTAGCAAAAGAAGTACTGAAAACTGAAAAATATAAAGTAAAGTATAAGATTATGGACATACGCAATAATCACAGGCGTTATTTTTATATTTTAGTTATTAAGAAAATTAATAAAATATTATTCAATGGATACACATTCATTAATTAAACTATATTATCAAGTGCGTCAGTTGTTTGCTCTTAGCTTTATATTCGTTTATTTTTTGTTTCGAGGAAAAACTACAAGAACAAGAACGTTCAAGTATCATAAATCAATCTTCATCTACATCAGATTTAGGAAAACTATATTGTCGTGCATATTATCATTTAAAAGAAGAAACACTCTATGTTGAAAGTAAGTCTTATATTTTGATTATAAGATTTTGAAAAAACTTCTATCTCTTTAGTTATATCATGCAAAAATCTAAAACCTTGTGATTCAAATGGCTTAAGGTATGAATGAAAATTTTTAATTGGAAAATAAACCAAACGGTATCCTCTTCATCATAGTGATCCATATGTTGAAATTCAATTATGTCCCAAATTTCTCTATCCACATATTGAAAAACAACAAACATCTATTATAAAAAAGTCTTTAAATCCATCATTTAATGAAAAATTTGAATTGTAGGGAAACGAAAAAAGAATTCAACAAAAGAAATATAATTTTTTCTCCTGTCTTTTAGTCGTTTGACAGAAAAAGAATGTACTTTATCCAGTGGTTTCATACATTTCATTGTGATGGATCATGATTTAATGTGGTCAAATGACTTCGAAGGAGAAGCTTTTCTTGAAATATCGAAATTACCTGGTATTCCTAATGATTCAACAAATGATAGTCGACTTTTGGATGAATTGAAAAAAGTTGAACTTACACTTACACATCCAAAAGGTTGGAGATAAAAAACAAAAGTTGAACTGGATTCAAATTAATTTGTTTTTTTCTTTTAGTTTTGCGAAGTCGTATTGTTGACATATTAGAAGTACGTGCATCAGACAGAACGGCTATGGAATTCGTTCGACAGAGACGCGAAGCAGAAAGTCAATAAAAGAAAAGGTTTTTTCTAGTTCTTTCTTTAAATGTAAATTGTATTCATAAACATGATCGATTTGTGAGGCAGCACCCGTATTTTTCTATCTGTAATTCGTGTAATAAAAATGAAAAAAAACGATCGTAGTAGTTATTAATTTTTGTCGGGTAGCTGTTCTGCATGAATTATGTATAATATTAGTTGATTTTCGTATGAATAAAAATCTTCCTTTAGCAATCTACTCATTAGGATGCGAACGCCTTTCATTGTATGATCTATCTGAAGTCTGTTGCAATAAATTACGTTTTTATGTGGATATTTTTCTCTTGCGGTGGAACGGAAAAAAAATCAAAAACAGTTTATTGAATGTAATTACATAATATTCGTCATTGTTATCAACATCGGAAAAATGTTTTAGATACGTATTCATCTTGCTAAAATTCTAAGTAGGAGTGGATAGAGAAACGTTTTTCAAAGATGGTAGATAAGAACCGATTATGCATGGTTTTCATCATGATATTTTCTATTTCCAATTATTCAGATTTATTCTAGCGCCAGTTTTGGAAAAGGATGGAAATGGTTTAATATGCTTTCAGCTCACATCATTTCACTTGTTTATAGTTGTCACCATGCATTAATTTTCAAAAAATCCTTTTAATATTCTGGAAGAAAGTGTTGTTATATCGACCATGATTCAGAACATCCGTATATATATATATATATATAGAATACCTAATATCCAAAGGAAATAATAATTGCAACTCTGACTCTGCCACGTTCTGTAATTTTTCTTTCAAATTAGCCAAGAAATAAATTGCTTAACCCTTTCCGGCCCACTGTTTGGAAATTGCCGTACCCCCCCCATCNCCACTAGAGGAAAATGTTGCCATATGGCAACACCGGGCCGGAAAGGGTTAAACAATAGATGCAATACTTGATGATGTTTTAGATAATTACTTTGGTGTATACAAAAGTTTCATGAAAAAACTCATATTGGCCAATGATTGAATATTTGTCATAAGTTTTGAAAATATATTGAAAGTCACGCCGTATTCAGGAATTATAAAGAATGAGATTATACATTATTGAAGAACCCTCAGCAGAACCATCATAACTCATTGAGAATATCAACAATTGCGCTCGAATTCGTTCCTATCTCCTTCTGTGAAAATAAACAAAGGAAATCTATATTCTACAGCAGCTATGACAGTCATGCATTTCTCTGCACACATTTTTTGTTTGAGGCGGATACAAAAAATACAATATAGTTTGTTCTATTCAAGAGTTGGGCAATCATGAACGTACGGTCAATTAGACAACGACTTGCTGTTGTTTAGTTTTTGTACATAACTCTACCAAATCTTATCAGTGGATCGTTGATATCAATTTAGAGAAAAACATTTGACTCGTTTATCTGTTGTCTTTTGTATTGGATCTAAAAGTAGGTTTTTGTGTGAAAAAAGACGTTTTTCAGTATTAAATTGCTAAATATTACTTTGAGAAACATTCTTCACAAAATTTTGTTCTATTTCTCTATTCACATTTTGTAATCGACGCATATTTCTTATTGCATTAGCTGCTTTTTCTTGAACAATCAGATCATCATCACCGATCAATTTAAGCAAATTCTAGACATAGAATGAATCATGATTTTGACATTTTTATTGAATAACATATTTAATTACCGGTGCTATTCCAACATCATGTAAAATACCACAATTTGATGGAACACGAGAAAGATCATAAATCACTTTAGTTAATGGTTTATTAAGTTCTGGATCTTGTTCTTGTAAATAATGTTTCAACGCTATCGCAATACGTCGATTACCTAATTGTTCTTGATTTTTTGGTAAATCTGATAGATTAGCTAGAGCATCACAGAATGGTTTCCTCAATTGAGCACAATCCTGTTTTATAAAAAGAAAAGAAAAGTATCATTTCATTTCAATCAAAATAATTAACTATATGAAGCAAACTAGATAATTTAATTGCGAAATCTTCGAAACAATTCCAAGATCGGTTAGAATTTTTAGATTATATTCGTCTTTAACAATTTCAGCAATAATGGCTAGAGTAACTGCAAGCACATCAATATTTTCAGTTGACAACATGTTTAAAATTAAATAAAAAACGCCATCAAATGAACGTATTAATTCACCATGATTCTCAAAATAGAACAAATAAACACTGTCTAAATTACATAAAATGACTGAGCATACTTCAACCGATGCCAGACAATTTCTAATTGCCCAGCCTGCAGCTATTTTAACAGATGATGAAGCTAATTTAAATAATGTCCATAGTTCTTGTAAACCATCATTATCAATAATCATTCTTTAATTTAAAGAAAAACAAATTTGAAATGGTTTCTTTTGTCAATTATTAACACAATGAAGAGCACAACAGTAGTAATACTATATTGTAGAAATTCTATTGCGAAATTCACTTAATAGATCAATACTGCTCTTTACCATTTATTTACATAGATACGAAGAAATACTAGCATCAATATTGTCATCTACTTCTTCATGCTTACTCATATTGGAAAATATGTTACTATTTTCAATCTCTTATATATTCTTTTCTTCTTCGTAAAGCTTTGTCTCATTTGTAACTGATAATATCAAAAGTAACTGAGTAATGTATTTCTTCGCTGTTCTAGAATTGTCTTTGTTTTTACTCTGCCTCACTATTTGTAATCAAAGATTGTACACATGAATGCCTTACTTTTTTTTCTAAAATTTGATTAGATACTTTTTTCTTCTATATTTTTTAACTAATTAATATGGTATTAATTAAAGATTTGTATAATTGAAATGATACTCAGAGTCACAACAAAGCTGCTCGTCTTTGTTAGATGAGATCCAAAACTAGTTTTATGATTTCGTTATTTACTGTTATCTTTCTTCTTCTATTTTCTGTCCTCATCGATCTGTATGATTTTTAGATTATTTGCAACTACTAAATATTTTATTCAGGCATAAATATCATAAATACATACAGTTGCATATTCATTTTACTAATTAAGAAATGTAAAAAAAACTGTGAACGAAGCCAAAGGACATTGCAAACAGAAACGAAAAAATATTCTTTTATGTTTTCACATTCTATGCGCTTGAAAGTTTTGTAAAGCTTTCGATTAATAGATAAAACCTATGAAATTTCACTTACTTTCTCGATCGAAACCTACTTTGATGCTTCGTTGTCGTTTCCACACTTTTGCAATATAAATAAAATATTCAATTTAATGTCCGGATTATTTTCATTTTTTAAACACAAAATAAACTGTGAGAAAATTTCTTCTTGCTTAAACAATTCAATGGTTTGAGGGATCTTTGTTAATTCCCTTAATGATTTGATAATACGTGATAAGTATAGAAAATATGAAGAATTTTTCAAAAAATTGATCATATTCAATATAATATCATTTGATATATTTTCATTATTGCGAATAAATTCTGTTAAAATATTTATTATTGAACAAAATATTGATGGGTCTTGAGTATGTTCTAATAATTTTTTTAATTTTTTAAAACCATATTGATAAATAAATTGTAATAGATTCAAATCAAGTGATAGATAATAAAGAGATTCACATATGACACGATTGAATTCAATATTTGTTAAATCAATTAAATTTATTAAAGATATTATTATATTTTTGTCAATCATTTGTAAACGAAATATGGGCTACGAAGAAAAAATTTCTCTTTTTTTCAAAACTTGAGATGAATTCAAGATTTTCGAATGAATACTTTCAATGTATTTTTTTAATAACAAAAAAATATCCATTTAAAGTAAATTTAAGTTATCAATATCCAAAAAATGGATCTTCATTTAATTTCTGATATTCAGAAAATGTCTGAAGTGCACACATAGGATACGTTAAATGCATTTCAAATCTTCGTACTACTTGTGGCTCCAAATTCAAGTAGATAGTGTATTATCAAACTAGTATTGAAAAACATGCAGCATACATTTACTCCTCGTGGACGACTTTGTAGACTAGTAGACATCTGTATTGTTTTCATAGGAGAGAGGAACCCGTTATGTTTAGTCATCGAAAAATATTCGTTTAATATAAGGATATTTTGTTACCGACCTCGGATTTAGTAAGTTTCGGACTCGATCTTTGCATTAGCTTTATAGATGTTATCCAAATAGTGAATAAAACTGTTTTTTTTTATGATAGAGTGCAACTAATAGTGACTCAAACCCGATCAATTCGATGTTGATAGATTCCTATGTATCTCTCTGTCTCTTTATTAGGATAGCACTCAATATATGACACTAACAAAGACAAAGTATCTCACAGTATCAGTTTTTGTTTAAACTTATGATAAATTCAATTAGTATTTTTGGAAAATAAATCCTACAATATTTAGATTACTTCAGATCGTCTAGTCATCCCTTTATGTATTTTCTGATCATGTTTAGGGTGCATTTCCAAAACTATAAGCTGCTGTGTTGATAGCAACATATTTAAATACGATTAAGCTATCGTAGACGTGCTTGGGTAACTAAAGAAAATGATTGAAATCGATTCGAAGTGGTATAAGTTCTTCTCGAGGATATTCAGATATATGAATGTTAGCATGTTCAGTTTCAAACATCAGAAGATGTTTATAAATTGAGTAGTTCTTCATAGTACTTTTTCAAAGTCAATTCTGATTGAAAGAGAGTCCATCGAATTATTTTAGTAAATTCATTCTATTATATCATTTTTTCCATGTAATTATTTCATGCTGTCAGAGCTATGTGGTAAATAGCACGTTTTACTAACAAACTAATTGGTTGAAATGTTATAATTGGCTATGAACTTCATAAAAAAAGAGTCGATGTATTTATTTGTACTCATAGTTAAATCATTTTTGTAGAAGAAAGAAATCTTATGAAGAATCTAACTTAAAAGACAGAAATTCATGTACTGTTTGGCCTGAAATCGTTTAACCATGTACAAAAGACAAAATCCATTTAGGATGAACGTAGCATTTAATACACATTTCAAATACAGTTAAAAGTGATTTCGTATGTCAATTTATTCTATAGCAATGAATCTAGTCAAAGAAAATGTTAAACGGACCATTTTTTCGTACATCTGCATAATTTATGGAGACATTTTCTTGATGTAAACATTAACCGATAACAAAAGGTTTATCATGGTACTGTAGGAAAAGGCAAATACAGTTGATAGATATTCAAAAAATATCTCAAAATTTATTCAACTGAGTTCTATTATAAAATATTGAAACTCATTTTAAAAACAGAATTGAAGGCTTTCATTCGGACTTATAGAAATATATTCTTAGAAATTTGAAAAAGCAAGATTTCTTCACATCTATTTCTACGAATCAATAAAAACATCTTACTATTTGAAGAAGAATTTCAAATAAGGAAATAATTGATGTTGAGGATTCATTTGAAATATTTAAAATAATGTTTGGTAGAATTTTTCCGATTCCATATCGAATACAAACATACTTATTCTTTTCTGATTTACATGATAATAAAAACACTTGAAATATATGTAAGATTGCTTGATTATTTTCAACTAAATTTTCACTTAATTCATCTAGTAAAGTTATCTCGATAAAAAAAAGAATCCTCTTAAATAGTTTTCTGTAGATTTCTAATTACTAATTTACTGATTCCACCAAAACGTCTTATAACCCTTCTTGCTCGACGAAATAAAAGAAGTTTCAGTAAAATTGAACAACTTTCTTGTATACCGATATGGTCTAAACACATACTATTTATAATTGTTATTATTCCACCTAAACGAAATATTTCATAAGCAAATGAAGAATTGTGACATGCATCTTCAAGAACATATAGAGCATTTAACTAGAAACAAAGAAGAAAATAGCTACTTATTCTTATTCTTTTATTCTATTTTCTTGTTTTGTTTACTTTAAGATCTCGATCGTACATTTCAATAAAATTAAGCAAAATACTCATTGTTGATGAATCTTTGAATGCCGAAAATGCACTTCGATCCTGTAAATTATGATCATGTAATAATGCTAATGATAAAATAGTTGTACATCGACCACCATTCTAGATTAATATTTTTTATAATTATAAAATAAATGTTTTTTTTTCTTTCAATAGACTTTAATGAAACGAAGTAATTTAGTTAATTGTTGATATTCAACAAGTTGTTCACGAGTAAATGATATTCGCTCTTCATCATTAAATAAACGTTCATCGTCTTCATTACTTATCATAGTTTGTTCACTATCAGAAATCGACAAGATTTCTTCAACACCATCGTAGAAATATTCTTGTGTATTACTATTTTTTATCAGAGAATTAACTAATTCTAGATATTCATGATAACTTGTATTGTTACTAGATCATTTCAAACATATACATTTGATACATTCAAATGAATTTTTACCGAGAGAGTTTATCGATTTCTGTAAATTTTTGATCGTCGGAATGAGTTGAAACATCTATTTTAGCTTAGAAAATCTTCATTGTCTTAACAATATATTCGTATTTTAGATGATTAAATGTATATTAAAGTAATTTAGCCTTTTAAAACTTAATCTCTGGATGTAAGTGAAAAAGAAAAAATTATTGATAAGCTCGATAATTTTTATCTTGAAAATTTCTTTTAAATAAAAAAATATAACTACTCTTACTTTGAAAACTGTGTCCATCATCGTGGCTAGATCGACTCATACCTTCATTACTACTAATACTCCATGTAGCACCATCATCAATATCAGTCTCGTTATGATGTCTAGCATTGCTACGTCGTTCAATGTAACGTTTTTCACCATCGGTTTGATTTTTACTATCATTAATTATCGGTTCCATTTTCTTACTAATTTAATTTTAACTCAAGTAAATGTTAATGGTTATTATTTAATGCTTTTTCATTAATAATATAACAATCAAAATAATTTCAAGAGCGCCAAACAAACATGACATGCCTCAAAGAAAACAAATCCATATACGGGGAAATACAAACGCTTGTGGGCAAAATGAATCAGTTCAAATAGAGAACAAGCAAATTTTTGATAAACCAACAAGACCCTCCATACATAAATTAAAATTATTGGATTTGATCATTGACTAGAATGTTTAGCACCGAAATGTACTATCATCTGAATTCAAATATAGATGTGGGCATATTTCGTAATCATATTTCCCGTAGAACATTGACTCATGAAAAAAAACACATCAATTTTTCATAAATACAGAAAATAAGAAAAAAAATATTCACAGATTGCCTTGAAATCAAATAGTAGTACAAAGATGAGAAAAACTTTCAGAGCCTATCGCTGGAACTACATATCTATTCAAATTCTGACCTAAATCATCTATCTGAAATATGTAAAAACACGAGAAAAATTAAACAAATATTATGACTTTTAAATTGAGGAATAAAATAAGAGATCATTAAAAATAGTAATTATGAATTACATATCATTTCAATTTTATCAATTGCAAAAAAGGACTCTTTAATTCATTGGAACTATCCAAATGGAGTGTCTTGCATAGGAATTGAGCTGTTTGTATTCATACAATGGTTATTACCTCGACTTTTGATTAAATTTGCAGGTTTTTGTTGAAGAATTTAAAAAACTGAAAATTTCCTAGTAGATGAAAGGATTCAAAATGTATAGCAAGTAATGATTCCATTGCTAGCTTCTATCGATTGCACGGTTACCTATCAGATATGCATTTTACGTTCCACATCGAACAATAAAAATACCATAACAATAAATATATAATTATTAAATATCCAGTTTATTTGAATCATCTAAGATTGTAAGTTATGAAAAAAAATACAAAAGAGATGGATTAATCTCATGAGAATCATCCGTAACAAATGAATATTTACTTCTACTTAAAACCTATGCAACCTAACTATCGCCTATCGCATTATTTTTGCCACGTATACAATGAATCCCTATGCAGCTGAGATGTAGCTATAAAAATATAATTGTCATCTCAGTTATCTATTTTCTCGAGCTCTTTTTATTCTTATTCATATTAAAATGCAATGCAGTACATCAGAAACCATTCAGTATGATACGTAATAATGTATATTTCTCTCTAATTCTCCTTTGAATGTATTTTTTTAGCCTCTTTATTCATGGATTAATCATTAGATATATATGCCTTATAATATGCTATTTTTCATACTTATTTTATTTCTCTTTCGTTACTATGCTAACAAATATGAATAGGAATATTTACACACGGTTTAAGGTTTCAATAGCGACTATTACCTTACATTTTTTTTATAGATCTTATCCAGGATTATTGTCAAAGTCCTGTATTCCTTGGAAAAGCATTTAACTAAGGAATATAATAAAATATATGGCTACATCTATCGTTGTCAATTCAATTACCTTTTGCACGAACTATTCTTCGTATTATTAGTGATAATCAGATTCGATAATTAACGTACTGAGGATGTCGTCTTAAGGATTCTTTAACAAAATAGTATGGCACTCTATGACAGATGAATCATACGAGCTTGATGGACTATAAATTATCATAAATATATAATATTTATTGTATATTTTTATTTGCAATAATGAAAAAATCTCTTTTTTTTATTGCATGTGAATTATTGGTTGTCAGACTTCTGCAAGTATCATCTTCAAGAATGAAAAAAATTTAATTTTACATTAAAATTTACAGTAAAACTTCGGGTTCTGACTTGAACGAAATTTAACTGGCGTTAGTTTCTCAGTAGATGACCCGTATTTAGGTGATTTATTCAACGTGTAAAACTAACGTGAACGTATACTTGATATTTGATTTTATAATTTATACATACGTAAATAAATCAAGACAATTAATATGAGTAAATAGATGTCGTTGGTTGAATAAAGTGTAAAACGATTCACTAGAAGTCATTCGATCATACAAATTCAAGATGGTGACGTATCCAGTACAGCAGCTGATGTCTCACGTACTATTGTATCATGAATCACCATTTTCCATCGACAACATAATTACTATTTTCATTCATTTTAGATTATCCGAAGATAATCATTATTGTTACTCTTTGACTTAAAATAATGGCTTACGCTTATCTTTTCAAATATATTATCATTGGCGACACTGGTTAGTTTTGCTTATTATTATTGAAATGAATATTCATTTTTTTGTGATTTAGGTGTCGGAAAATCTTGTTTATTGCTTCAATTTACCGATAAAAGATTTCAACCTGTACATGATCTAACAATAGGTAAAATATGAAAGAAAAAAAAATAATAAATACTTTATTTAATAACAAAGGTGTTGAATTCGGTGCACGAATGATCACAATTGATGGAAAACAAATTAAATTACAAATATGGGATACGGTTAGTTTTGTGATTTATGTTTTTCAAATAGATTGTATGTTCTTTCTTTAAAATAATGAAAACAAACAGGCTGGACAAGAAAGTTTCCGTTCAATAACTCGTTCTTACTATCGGGGTGCAGCTGGTGCTCTTCTCGTCTATGATATTACTCAGTAAGATGAAAAAATTTTGTTTCATCTTAATTGTTTTCTAATAAAAATTAAAATAGACGTCATACATTTAATCATTTAACCAGTTGGCTTGAAGATGCAAGACAACATTCAACTTCAAATATGGTTATTATGCTTATTGGAAATAAATGGTAAGATTGATTTACATTTTATTCTTTCCAAACTATTATACGATTGTTTCAGTGATCTATTTGCACGACGTGAAGTACAAAAAGAAGAAGGTGAAGCATTTGCACGAGAACATGGGTTGATTTTTATGGAAACATCAGCTAAAACAGCAGCGAATGTCGAGGAGGTTAATAACACTAATAAAAAGAAGACTAACAAAAGAACATTAATGGTTTGCTTTTGTTTGTTAGGCATTTATTAATACAGCTCGTGAGATTTATACAAAAATTCAAGAGGGTGTTTTTGATCCAACCAATGAAGTAAAGTTATTTTTTTCTTTTATTTATATCTTTGAACAATTTCATATATTTAAGGTTACTGGTATTAAAATTGGTCCACAAGGTCCGAATTCGGGTGGACCTTCTACTCGTCCAAATCCAAAAACAGCTGACAGAGGTGGATGTTGTTAAAAGAAGTTAGTCTATCAGATCATACCAACAGCATTAATTTAATTTTTTTTTGGCGCATCTCTTTATATGTGTGTTACGTGAATTCAATGCTTTGATGTTGTTGTTTTTTGTTGTTCTTTTTGTCTTTTTAAGAAAAAATATATATCGTATCTATAAATGCTTTTCTCTTTTGTTTAGACTGATTGAAAAATGTATTTTTTTTTGTCAAAGAATTCTGAAAACAAAAGTTTTAATCGAATTTCTTTGTATATCATTCTACAATTATTTGTCTCAGACACAGGAGAAGTATAAATACATATTTATTCATTATTTAAACATGCAAACTATTTTCAAGTTAGCATTTGGCTTTTTATTTTGTTTCTATTTTAATTGACACATTCGTATGAATGATACTTTATCTTTTTTTCTTTTCATTCTGTTCTTTGTTGTGCAAACTGTTTTTTCTGTATGTGCGTATATGTTGTGTGTGTAAAACAGAAATACCAAAAGGGACAAATAAAACAGAAGCATAATTCATTGGGTTTTGAATATAAATAAAAATAATATATTGACAAGAAAACTATGGTATTTTTCTTTTAGAAGTATTTATAATGACTGATTTGGTCGATGAAGTACAATTAAGAACGGTATGATTTTTATTTAGAAAATTATAATTTAGATGATAATTGTGTATTTATTTTAGGCAGAGGAGGCAAAGACAGTTTCTGCTTTTAAGGTAAGAAAATTTTGAGAGTAAAATTTTAGCGACAGGCAAAATATGTCAATAATGCGGGGTTGAACATAGGTTAAAGTTGATTTATTTTATTTCATACTCATTTGGTTACCATAGTGAATCCTTCGTTACATTCGATGAATGAATCATATGTTCTCAATCTTGTTGGACTTGTTCTGCATTGATGTATGCTCTATTGCAACGAATATCATACTTCATAATCTTTTTGTCGTATTCTTTTCTTACAGCGAGAAAATAGACACCATATATAGCTTAAATTCGTGTTCAGGTAGTTGTTCCATAATTTTATCTTCATAATATCTAGAAATATAATATGCTAATTAAAAATCATTACGATGAGAGCTTTAATTAAAAATAAAGAGAAATATAAAAATAATTAGGAAAAAGAAGCGTTCACTTTTTAATCATCTCTTTAAAAAAAACTCTGTTCTCTTTGAAATCAACTTTAAACACACTTTCAAATGTGCTAAAAATATCTCGTTTAAATAAGACATCAAAATTAAATATTCTCCCTACTGTGCTCAAGAGCTAAATTATTTTTCTCATTTTACTCAGAGAAAGGTTTGTTGTTTCTAGTAGAATTGAATAGCAGTCAGTTATCAAATAAGAAATTATTTTTCTTTCATCCAGGTAATTCTAATGATATTGACTGTTTGAAAAATTGGAACAATTTTTATACAACTTCAGTTTTTTAATGTTCTAAAAATATCTTGTTTCATAGATTATAATAAGCTTTCTTTACTATTTTCCAGTGCTGTATATAAGATAATTGAATACAGAGAATGTCTGCCAACAATAATTACATAAATAAAAATAGGGTACTATAAGTAATAATATCAATAGAGAATTTCATTCTGTCGTTGGCATGAAAATTTGATGGAGGACAATATATTATGATAAAATCCTAATATTGATTTACGAAAGGCAACCATGGGATACATGTTAATTGATTACTACTCTTAAATATGAATAAAAAGAATGACTACGTACATGTAATCGTATTGAAACGACACAAAAGTCTTCGCTCTTTAATATAATCTCTACTTGTGAACATCTAGCTATTTAAGGTAAAGATTAGACTGAATTTTCTAGGGTGTCATTTATACTGACTTGATCTCCTCAAACACTATTACAAATAAGTACCTTGACTAAATCTTATCATCTGCAATTGTACCAGTGTAACAATTATCACATTGTTGTATTCCATACTTATTCAAATCTATAACAGCGAATGTCAACCTGTTTTTTTTTACGAAAATGTCTCATTAATCATTGCGGTTTGTTACTAGAAACTGGGGGGGGGGGGGGGGGGGGGGGGGGGGGCGGGGGGGGGGGGGGGGGGGGGGGGGGGGGGGGGGGGGGGGGGGGG